TATCAATTGTTACCGACCGTCAACAACATGATAAAATATCGCGTACGCAAGCATTAGTCATTTCCATCAGCTCAGCTTTAACATGACCACATCTGTGACTTCTTCCTTGGCCTATTTGCAAAATTATAGGACCAGCTTCCTCGGCTGGAGTTTGCTGTAAATCATTACGGTCAACCAGACGTGGCCATGTTCGACTTCACGTCAATGTACGCGTCCGAAAACGCAAGTCGAATGGTTGAGCGACGCGGCAAGAAGCTCTTGCTGTGCCTTGTGGGTGACTCACTATTAGAACCTTTTTGGCCAACGGGGTCTGGCTGTGCACGAGGTTTCCTTAGCGCCCTCGATACCGGCTGGATGCTGAAAGGCTGGGAGACGCAGCCGCCAGTCAAGGTAGTTAAAATGATCAACTAATAATTGTAATCAATTAAAAATTATTTCTTTCTGCGTTGTTAATTAATGATTTTTTTGTGCTTAATTTTTAGTAGTAGACCAATATATAACTAGTTTGTTACTCGTTTTTTAGACTCAGCATCGATATCACTAACATCTTAACGATTCATTGCAAATTCTTAGTAGTTGTAAAGAGCAGTACAGGAACAAATCAGTTTTACTCTTTGCCAACTGCAGGTGATAGCCGAGCGTGAATCAATTTATCGTCTTCTTAATCAGACCTCTCCTGAAAATCTCCATAAAGATGTTAACCAATACACGATCAACCCGGCAAGCCGATACCTTAGTTTAGGCACAAGCAAGGTGCGTGTGCTCCATTTATGGCATTTCATTAAGTACTTCACCGTTTTAATGAACCTATATAATAACAACAATAGTAATAATAAATACTTCACCCTCTAATCAGGGCCTGTCTGACTTTTATGCGTACGCGTATAATACGATAATCGACCGTATATAGTACGATACAATCGGTAACGATTGGGTTCGTAAAAGCTTTTCCTTGGTCAGCGATTCCTGAAAATGTTTCAAACTCTATAGGTGCTACCGGGTGAGGTACAGCACCTCTGTGACCTCGAGACAATAACGCTGGACATCACCGATAGCGAAATGGAGCTGGCACTTAGCTCAATGGCACGAAAGAGACTGCGAAATCGTAGCATAGTCAATCCTGACAGCTTACAACTTTGGTGCGAAAAGCAGGTTTACCAGTATAATATCTCTATAGAGGACATGACAACGAGTTGGAAGGATGGAAGGGCACTCACGGCCATTTTACATCGGTAAAATGAAGTTGATTGTTATTTCTATAATTTGTTTATCAGACCGAAGGCGTTATAAACAACTGCTGTTATTAGATTTGACAAAAGGCTAAGCCGAGAAGACACTTAATATATCGTAAAATCTATTCAGAATATTCAATACTACTGCTTGAATATGAAAACTTTCAAACTTTTCGGGTAGCGGATCTAATGATCATTTAGGCTTTTCTGTATGTTTTTATCGTAGTTTTTTTTTCTATACTACAGATCGTTGCAAATGATTGATTTGCACTGCCTATGATTAATCCAATAATTATGTCTGGTTTTCAGTTACCGCCCTGAGTTGATAGGCCATCCATCTGAATTGGACGTGAGTCCGTCATCCGCGGCAGGTAACTGCCAAAGAGTATTCGATCTGCTCGAACGTGAATACGGGATCCCGCCGGTAATGACCGGTCAAGATCTTGCCGCCAGTGAAATACCTGATAAGCTAACGATGGTCAGCTATTTGACCCAAGTATATGAAACCTTCCGTGGAGCGATTCCTAGACCTCCCGGTCGCTCAGTGTATAAGGTTAGTTAGAATCTTCGAGGCGTATGGAAGCTGGAAAACCTAGATTTACCGAAATTACCCTAGCTGTTTCTGCAAAAGAATTAGAGCTATGTCACGTTGGGATCACTCATATATAAAACATAGCTTATGAATGTTAAAGAGCGTATTCACTGTACGTTAGTCTAACTGGATCAATTTTATTGTATCCTCCTTTGTATATCTTTTCTTAGTTTGATGACTTGCTCGAAGAACAAGAGAATTCGCGGCCTGCAGCACCCAGAGCAGACCTTAGACAGGCCGTGGAAAAGTATCGGCATAGTGGCGGTTCGCATGGCCCGTTACGGGAAGCGCGATCAAGATCACTCTATGATTCGCCTTTTAGCAGCGGCAATCCCAATGCATTACCTGCTAATCTTGCCACAGACGAGGGGTACTCACATGAAGCGGCCAAACGATCCAAGATGACCGAACGAGCCTGGAGGTGCTTAGATGGGCCTGGATTTTTATTTGGACTGTTTTAATTGATTCAGGAGGCGTCAAATAGTGACGCTGCATAGAAAAAAGGGAGTTACGTAATAACGAAGAAATAACTGAACCTAAATTTAAAGGACTCAGGATATTCACTAATCTGCTAGTGACTTTCAGAGCGCGTACCCATCTCGAGGCAATGACTCGTGGTCATGGAGGTGTTCGAGCTAATGACGTGACGCCCGAGCTCGAACGTGTTGCCGACGTCATGGACCGAAAGGCATTCAACGCACGCAAAGAACGCTTGCAGGAGCAATGGAAGTTTGACTCAACGGGTGCACGAATCTATGGTCCCCTTGAGTCGACAGATGGGTTTCACCAACAGCCGCCGCCTCCACCCAAGGGAATCCCTAGGAAGAGCTATGCATTAAGTAAGTTTGCGACACACCGTTCCCCCCATTTATGGGGTGTTTAAACCAGGCATTACATCATTTTAATATCTGCAAAGGAGTGGCTCCGATAAATCACGTCAAAGTATGAAATTACATATAGAACCTCACCACTGCATTGTAACTGAATATTCACCAGACACGTGTATATGAACTTTTTTTTATCTTCAACTGTTTTTCCTATTATTTTGCGGTTCCAACTCACCCTCTTTATAGCGCAACGACCCTCAATTCGTGAGCTTCAGCAGCAGCTGTTAGATCTAGAAAAGGGCGTCAGTGCGGGAGGCAGCGCGAAGAAGACCGCTCCGCCAGGACACTATGTAGGCAAAATCGGCAAGGATGATTGGAACGTTCGTCAGCTTGAGGAACGACTTCGAGAACGCGAGAAAGGTCGCGCCGACAGCGGCAAGAAGAAATCGCACGTCGAAAAGCCACAGGTAGATTGGGCTTCGTTTCATTCTACAGCTACTTCCGGTGCTCAGGAAGCGCTTCAGACCGCTGACAACATTGATGACCCCGAAAAGGAAGAGGAGGAGAAGGACGACGACGATGAAGAAACTGTCGGAGCGAATCGTGGGTCAAGTAGGGAAGCTGGGAATAGACCCCCCAACGGTGTCGTTTTTGCGAGCACCCCTCTGAGGGCGGTCGCCGGCCATGGCGCGAACGGATCCGCCGCTACGTCAGACAAAAATCAGGAGAAGATGCGAGTGAGTGGTTGGCCGATTGGACTGATTGATGATTGACTGTGTCCTTGGATTAGATTGTGTTGAGGAAGAAGTAGTATGATTGAATGGTGTCGACTCGATTTTTCGTCAAATTTATTTCGGCCGTGCCTTTCAAGCACTAAATGGCTTAATTCATAAAGTTATGTTTGGTTGATTGGTATCGGACGTTTGAGGCATTGAAAAATTAATAGAATGGAAATATAAGATTAGTATGAATGTCAATCAAGGGAGTTGCACATCTTTAATAGACGGGCACCCAAAATTGATGATTGATTGATGAATGAAAGTCCACTTAGATGGTCCATCCAGCGCGGATTTAAATAGGAGTGCATTATGAATGCGGGACATGACAGATTTGCTATGTATCTATTTTTGACAAATTTTTACATCGATGAGAAGGTTTGACAAGAAGTTCATGCCAACATTGCGTGGAAGAACAATTAAAGTTACTCAACCCTTTGGTGTTCATCTGTTGTTTGAATCAACTTGTGAGTATATTTATGTGTGAGTACTTAAGCATACTCTTCATCTTTGGATATGCGTCTGCTTTGTCGTGTAAACGTGCGCTTCCTGAGTCCCGGGACCATCGATTATGTACGCGACTAGCGATCTGCTCCGATCTTATCCTGGTGTCGTTGCAGAATTCCAAGAAGATCTTGTCAGTGCGACGAAGCCATAAACGTGCTTTCCCTATGTGACACGTTCATTTTACGTACAAATTCATGTTACACGTATATTTTTACATAATGTAACTAAATTAGAGGATTTCCTAAAATTAATTTCGATGAAATTATACTGTCAGGACCGAAAAAACGTAAGATTTGAATAGCGGCCGCTCGTTAAGCAGTGTACACACAGTTTAAATTATTGAATTATTATAATTAATTTGTTACGATTTGTAGACGGTAAAATTATTCAACATGCCACATTAGTATGCTAAATTTTCCTGACGAATTAAAGGTCGTCGATTGTACATAGAGTGAAGCCTGTTAGAAAACTGTTCATTGTCAGTGAAACCTCTGCAAGCAAACTGTTCTATTCATCAACGGGACAACAGGTAATCATATCACTAATAGCGATTCGTAGCTGAGCTAAAAGTATATGCTACGAGTGCATAATCTATAACATGGTGTATTTGATACTTTTTCACAGATGTTTGAGGAAGTATTCCGTGATAAACGTGCCCAAATGGAAGGTCGACTACGCGGTGAAAATCCTGAGAGGGCCAAATACGGAGTCATTGACGAGAAGCTTCAGCGGGTAGAAAGACAGCTTAAGGTAACATTGGCATCACCGTTATCAACTATAAAATAATACTCTATTCAAAGAGACCACTCATTGCAAGATTGTTACGTCAACTAATTATCAATAAACGTTACAAAAATATTTGCAAATAGGTGATATGATAGCTCAAATTTTTACAATTTTCGCATTTCAGGATGGAGGAGTAATCATGGACGTGGGGGAACGCGGTCGCAATAAAGTAGCTCAGTTGAAGAATATTCTTGACGTTAAGGCGCAACAGAACCGTCCCGCTCCTGTAACTTGTCTTAACCCACCTAAAGTGAACAAGTACCTAAGCAAGGACTACCTTGCATATAAGGTAGGCACACATAATAACAATCTGAATTATCATTGCTTCCTCTTTCTAGAAAGCCGAGAAATCAGGAGATTGCAAAAAGTTCACCTTCTAGAAGACCAGACTTGGTCTTCATTTGCAAACTACAGATAAATGTACTTTATCTATAGACATCAAATCCGCGAGTTCAAAGCAGCGTGCCACGACCCAGCTAGCGACTTCGTGAATACGGAATGACATGCTAACTTTAAACCTGCTTCTTGTACCCCATTCTAAATTTTCTTCTCTATTCCAGGAAAAAGAGACTACAAGCGGTTCGTCTTCGGGCGGGACGAGCGGTACCTTAAGTTGCGAGGACTTACCTGGCGTATCAGCAGCTGATCGGGACTGTCTCGACTATCGTTCTGTGCGAGCGCCCGAAATGATGAGATTAGAACTTGTCGCTCTTCGGGATGCTCAGAACTTACCGGAGAGTCCGTACGCAGCCAGTAAAAACTCGTCACTGAGTCGCAACGAGCGGGCGCATGTCGAGGATACTGAACCAGTTGAAGTAAGCCACAAGGTTGAGGCAGGCACAAACATCGCACCAGTGCCTGAGTCGTCTGACCTGTGCTATTTCTGCGGACAGCGGGTGTATCTTATTGATCGACTCAGTGCGGAGGGACACTTTTTCCATCGGTAAATGCGAGGACAAACTCTATATAGTATAGCTTATAGGAAAATATATGGTAGTTAATAGAAGTGGGTGTATGAGTTGAAATAGCGATAACCATTTTGTATACGTCAAATCGAGCTTTATTGAAATAAAAAATTACACATACATGCATGATTACATTACGCAGTAAATTTTAGCTTTGCACATTTGCTCATCGTTCTCTGAAAAATCCAATAGTTTTACATCATATCTGCAGAACAAACAATATAGTAACAAACCGAAGCGTTTCGAAACATAAATAAGTAGAGTTAACATCAAAGAAAGCGCTTATTTTTCATAGTGTGATATTTTTGTTCGGTTTAAATGTAATGCATTTTTGTACAATTGTACTTTTTCTCTCTGATGTTGTTGTACGTGATTGTCTGCGAACCGCAGCGATTTGAACTGTATTTGAAGCGGTCGACTAAAGCTGGACGAAGTGATGGTGAATGGGTCGCCGGTTCACTACCGCGCCTCCCATGAATACCCTCTTCGGAATCTGTTCAAGTACCCCCAAAAGCTCTGTGCGCCAATGGGGCGTGCTGGTGGTGAAAACGACATATGAATTAGGCAAGAAAGATAATAATTAAGAGACAAACAATCCTTTACCCTCATTGTTGCTGCTGCAAGGCTGCTACTACAAGACCTAACCTAACCTCATCAGTGACGATTATGGCCATGCTTGTGATGGAGTGTCTCTTGCCATCCGGCCCGAAAGAAGCAAGTACGTCATCACTGACTTTTGGGCAGGGCCCGAAAAAACCTATTCAAAGCTGTAGTGTATGCGTAGTTCATGGAGAAAAATACTAAACATTTTGCCTGTCAACTTTTAGCTTCAGAACGACATTACTGGCCGTATTAATCGAACAAAAAATCCTTCTTCATAGAAAAAACCCTAATCCCTGCAGATTGTCGCGCTGACTTCACCTGAGCCATAATCGACAATGTTGTTCCTCGACAATTGGTTTGCTATGTTGAGCTGTTTCGTGTGCATTTAGAATTTGATGAACCAAAAAAAAGTGAGCAGCGGGTTTATGATATTTGAATTCACCATAGTAATTAGTCTATGCAGATGGCCTATAGTAATGGTCTAAGCTTAGAGTCGTCTTTAACACTGAATTGGCATTTTGGTAACCATACAAAAGTTTTTAATCAAGTATATGTTTTAGAAAACATATAATTTTTTTTTTTCTAGAGGATAGTAAATGTTGGAAATAACCTCTTCCTTAATAGACATTTAATAAGCTTGTTGTAATAGCACAACGCAGCTGTGTGTCTTCATTATGTCTATGGGGCATTTTGCATTTTCGAGTTAGCCGGATGTCATAGAGTATCTTCAACGTCTATTATGCTATCGATTTTTTCATCTAGCACAAATCTTACCCCCTGTTTTTCACACAGCAAATTTTTGTCTCCTAAACATGCTACCAAACATTTATCAAATACTCATCAATTTTTAAGTGGTACCCTCAAGTGGGGCTGTTAATTCAATCCAGAAAATCTAAAAATTGTGTAATATGTATGTGTATGCGCGCGCGTGTACAAGACAAACGAGCTGTGAATAAGCGGCCTTTTCTTGGTTTTTTGTCTCCAGCGATTCGTACCTTTTGTCAACTACTAGCTCTAACCTTGATGTCCATCCTTTACTTGCTCCCCAATTTTTGGTCCCGGTCTCGTTGCTGGCACCCAACTATGTTTCCATTCCACTGGATCACATCGGCCATTCGCTATTCATCAACCAACTCTACTTTTTGCTCTATTTTCGACGTCGTCTCACGACATCTGTCAATCCGACCGACCGCTTTCCCTACCTCTCTCCCTCCCTCCGTGTTCTTCTAGTTCGTGTCTTCGTTGCGAATATTGCGACGATAATCTTCGTATCGGCTCATACGCATATGATAGCTCGGGCGTATGCCGTGGCAAATTCTTCTGCGTGCAGCACTTCCGCATGGAGAAGCCGTCAGCACGATGGACGGCAATGATGCGACGGAAAGAGGCGTTTCTTCAGGAGGAACCGAGACCTGCACAAATTCTACCAACGACGTATGTGACTACTATATAGTAAATGCATAGACATGTGCTTGAGTTAGTCACGAACATATTAAAAACTTAAATTAAAAATAGTAGAACAAATTAGAGCGAGTAAGAGATCGATTTGTTGAACCAGTAAGTGTACAGAGCAGCATGCATATAAGCAGAATTAAGACCGGTAAGGGCCGTGGCAAAATGGACAATGAAACTTTTACAATGAAATAAGTCTCTGGTCACTACAACACATACAATTAGAAGGCGAGTTCTTGAGTTGAGCGATAAGATAAGGGCGATTCTAAAATTTAGATAGTTTCGGCCGAACTTTATGAAGTTCGAGGGTAAAACAGGCCATTATAACAAGTGTCCCAGAAGTGTTACGTTTCCGCCCATCTTCTCTATCTAGGTTTTACATATTTATAGAGCTTTTTTAGTAGTGTTTTTTGCATGTACAAACGTAATATGGTCTGATACCGTTGCTGTCCGCCTAATTCTTTACTGTCCAACCTAACTGTTAAATGCAAGTCACGACAACGCAAAATGAAAAACGTTTAATACGTACGTTGTCTTGTTGAATGAACTACCTACCGTACGCCTCACAGTAAAGGCCTAGTATCATACTAGAGGGACCTTCTAGAGTAACCCGCCCGGTGGATGTTCGGCCTCACTTGATATAATGACCTGTGCACATGTACCCTCTGCGTTCATTCCGCATTTCTCACGTGCGTATTAAAAAAACTGTTAATCGGTAGGGAGGAGACACCAGGAGATCGTTCCGTAGAACCATCGACTGCATTGCAAGACACGCAGACAGTACAGACATTGGCACCGCAGCGAGTGACGCCCGAACAGGCGTTAAGGCACCAACCGGGAATTAGCAACAGCCTTATAGACATAGATCGGTAAGAGCTTCCGAAAATTGTTTGATCACCTTTATGTCCCAAGATGTTCCTTTTTACATAATAAAAAATAAATATGTTTGCAATCATGCTCGAATCAAGAGGCCAAACAGTGCGTTTTCCACTAAAGAGGTATGTTCACCCGATTTACACGGTTTAAATAAAAACAGTGATCGAACACCAGAGCGCGCCGAGTTCGAAAACCTCGGCGACGCGTCCGAACTTATGGATCAGGACAACTTGCTCAACTCGGAGTTAGACGAAGAAGAATTAACTCAGCGGAACCTCGGCGCCATTGAAGTCCAAACCGATGATGACCTCGAACAGTTGAGCAGCGATGACGAGGATGAAGATCAGGAATTGATGCTTCGTGCGGGTGCAGTGCAGGGTCTTGCGGCAGACGCTGATGCAACCCGGCATCTAGCCGAAACGTGGAGCAAAAAGCACAATCAAAGCTGTTGTGATAGCGATGAGGAAGAGCTCACGGATGATACTACCGATGAGGAAACCTCCACCGAAAAGGATGAAGGCAAGTTATTTAATGGTATCGTAATTCAATGAAAAGAAATTGAACTAAACCGAAGTTATTCATTTGAAATGTCGTGTTTTCAAACAGCATCTGCATTGCCGCCTTTCAAGGCGTTGTTTCTGCTGTTCGTTACAGCTATTTGGTTATCGTCTTTAACTAAATGGTCGACTGTTGTAGAGTAACTTTTCACTTTTTCGAAGGCAAGTATTTTTCTGTGATAACCTTCATCCTATTGCCTCAATCCTTTTTCGAATTGTTCAATCGTTCTGCTTGAAAAGATAGATTGTAACCTCGATCAGATCGAGACAAATGCTTTTTCCATGTCTTGATACTTGAGAATCCTTTTCTTAAGGCTTTCCTTTAGCGCTTTGCGACCCGAAACAACGAGGTATGGTAAAGTCTTTCGTCCGATTATGTTTTCCGACGAACGAGCGAGGTTCATCTTTTTTTGCATTTTATTGTAAGGATGTGAAAGTGAATGCATGACTAGTAGCTAGGTTCGATTACAGCCTAAACTGTGCAAGCATGCGGATGCGATAAACCCGCCTGCGGCTAAATAAATACACGGCATACTGAAATGCACCTACACATATATATACGCAATAGGTATTATAATTGAACGATGATACAAAAACAAAAGTAGCCTTCGAATAACAATTGCGAATTTATTAACTACTGCATATTATCCCATAGCAATCTATGGCAAGCTAAATATTTCTAGCATCCAATATGGTCTCTTATTCAAAAGTGGAGTTATCCAATCAATACAGTAGAGATATGAGTCGATGTGCATGAAGTGACCTACTGTCATTGTCACTGATTGTGCTTGTTTTACTCTTGCCCTGTGATTTTGCCCGCGCGTGGTTTGTTCTGACGTGTCGCTGTCCTGTGTCATAGGCGCTACAACAGATGACGTGGACAGTGATTACGAATACGCATCGGATTCGCAACATCCTCAACAACAAAATTCTCTGATTGCAAACAACACGACGGCGGAGGAGCGCTCGAGCGTCCCCGACGAGATCTCCGATGGTATGCCCTTTTTGTTAATTAATCTTGCATATGGGTGGTAATTTCCTTATATTTATTTGGTATATAAATGTTTGATAGATAATATCCTTTGCATCGTTCTGTTGTTTTTTTACAAAAGGAGCAGGTTGCCTAGGGGCACGGCTGCTACCATATGTTGTAGTGAATTACGTTGTTGTTTAAAGTGGGCGTTCATTTATTTATGATACTTGATAGCAAGTGAAAACGTTTAACGCAGTAATGAACGTTTTCATTTTTTGCTTATATATATTGTTATTATGATTAGTGCAATTTTGCGTATGCTGTTTTTCACAGAAGCCTAAAAACACACTAAAAGATGAGTTAATATGTGTCGGAACGTGCTGTATTTATATTAATAATTAATTTTGAAACGAAATAAGTGTGCCCGTTAGACTCGATGATTGTTTGCGTATGTCTAAATTCGGCTAAACCTCTATGTCGGCGTTGAAATATAATTTTTTTCTATGCTATTAGAAGATGACAATAATTAAAAAAGCCCCACATTCTATCAATACGTTTTAAAATGTCTATGGTAAAATTGCTCAGCTCTTGTTGTGGCCTTCGCAATCGTTGTAAGCCGTACGAGGCATATGACCCCTGAAAACCATATTTAAATATTTGTTTTTAAGACGTAGCTCTCCCTATTCTGTTTGGATAACAGTAAAACGCTACTTCCATAACTGACAAATTAGCTGGAGGAACGTATCGGCTGCTTTTTTTGTTGGTGATCGTTGGCATTTGGTTTTTCAAAGGACTTTTTTTGACTGGTTTCTATAGTTTGCTAGTGAGGCAGGCTATGGCAGACTCAAATCGCTGAGTTTGACGAACGGTTTTCTCTAGTAACTGTCTCAATTACGACCTCAACGAGTACCTCACTTGCTTCAGGCGCTGCAGTGGAAATGCTGCGTTCTCGGTGTAGCGGCCTCGCAAGGCTGCTATACGATCAAGCCTTAACAGAGGCTTACCTGGGTCGTTCGAGTGGCAATAGCAGTTCGGATTCGGAAACTCTTAACGAACCATCATCTCGGCAACCAGCGCGAGTCCTCTGTGCGCCAGCTACACGACCGCCAGCGCCGCCACAGTATCTTGAAGTCACAAAAAGAGAGTCACAACAACAACAACAACAACAGAAACAACAACAACAGCAGCAGCAGCAGCAACAACAACAAAAACAGTATCAACAACATCGACCACAGCCACAGAAACCGTTGCCGTCATTTGTGTTCCCGTCAGATCCTAATGCCTTCTCCATGCCACAAAGTGTGTGTCGCGCCTTTCCTCCTGAGGACAACGGCGTGCTGGCGGGTCCAATTTTTGGCCACTCTGGGGATAAGCAGTTTTTAACTAGCAGCAGCAGCAGCAGCAATAATCGTAACAGTAACAATTATAATACTAGCAGTAGTTACCGTAACCAGAATAACCAAACGGGTAGTAACCCAGACTTACAAAACGCTTTCAAGTTTGCTGTGTCAACTAACAGTGTTGTCAAAACCAACAACAGTACCACTTTCACCAGCAAGAACAACATCAGTGGCAAAAGTCGTAATCACAATAGCTTTTCGCCTGGACCGGCTTCATCTTGTATTCAGCGTAATAACAGACGACCGCTGAAACCTGTACATTTGCATGCCCCAGTGTATAGGGAAGTGCCAATGGTGTCAAGGACTCAGCCGCTGCATAGTACAACGAGTTTAACCGACAACTGGGAATTGTCGATGTCGCATGAGCCGGCTCTAGTTAGAAAATATCAGCCGATCAACATACCGCCTGCATTTTTTAATTCGAAATTATCGAAGTCTAACAAAGCGACCAGTGTGTCGATGAGCAGCCTATTCAGCTTCAATCGCGAGCCCCGACAAGACAGTGACAAGGAGCGCCGTGCGTCACATGAGAAACTGCGGTTCTTTGGCGATTTCGACGAGTTGCTCAATGCTAAGGGCGAATGGCTTGAGAATTGCGATCGATTTCTCCGTTCAGTTTCACGAGTGGAAAAAGACAATAGTGCGCGAAACGTTCCGCCACCGCCTCCGCCGAAACCTATTTCAATCAAGCCTCTGCTGACTCCCCAACCCCCAAGGCCCTCGTACGGCCGTTCACTATCCGAAGGTCCGGCTAGCGCAAGTGTAGATAATTCTCCAGCACTTTCGACACTCACCAGAGCGAAGAGCTTCATGCCTCACAGCCGAATTGCCTCAAACGACTCTGTCATTTCAACGGTACGACATACAAACTTGCTTTCGAGGATCCCGCCGAGAAGAACCTCGGATAGCAAACTTGCTGAAAAATTCAAACGTAATAGCCTAATTTCAGAAGAGGAACGCACTGAATCGCTTGAAAAAATGTCGGAAGGAAGTTTTCTAAGGCGGGCGTTCGATGGCGATCGTGACGCGGGTTCGCGGGTACGAAATTCGCCCTTCCGAAGGGGCAGCTGCGATATCTTGCACTCGACGCAGTTTAATGAGCCCAGGCAACGGCCCTCCGGTTCTCCGCCGTTACTATCCTTAAAACAATTGAGCCTTCCGTCGAAAAGTCCCGATGCAGTGGCTCAACATAAGAACAGCAACAACGGACGCGGCAGTAAAGAGTCACTGCCATATTCTGTAACTTCGTCGGCAGAACGCGCTGAAAAGAAGACTTTAAATGGTACTACTAGGCCCACCAGATATAATCCTGTCCTTCTCGTAATACCGAGAATAAGTGTTGCTTCGAGCAAGAAGACTCAAAAAACCATTTCAACGCCTGCCCTAAAACGTAGTCCCTCAAAGACAAGCATCACGTACTGGGAAGATTTTGTGGACCCGGCGGAGCCGTCAAAGGTAAAGATATGTGATGTTAACCTTGAAAGGACTAACAATAGGTCGAATTCAGATATGAGTGCCGACTGTGTTTATTCCAGTGGTAGGTGTGATACGGAACCGGAACGGCTAATGGATGAAAAATCAAAGCCCCGACAACCTGATACGCAGGTGCATACGCCCAGTCGTAATAGAGCCTTTTCTACTGCGCGAGGTGCAATTGGGTCGTCGTCGCCAATAATAGACGCAATTCACAATGAAATGGATTTCGAAGACAGCCTTCGTAGCGCCAGTGTGAACTCGGCTCTTAAGGAACTAAACGTTACGTTGAAAGAAATGGAATTGGGTACTAAGGTTCCGAACAGTAGCTCCTCCTCGAAGAAGAAAAAAGGCGGTACAACTGATAATAACTGCGTAATGTGCTGAGTGCCGACGGTACACACAACGAAGCACATGAACGACGCTGTTCCTCTCTTTGTTGGCAGCGTTGTTATCACGCAGTGTCGTAGAAATGCAAGATAATCGTAATGCAACAACAATGGTCTTGTACAAGTGGAGTCGACTTATTCTGGGCCTGGATACAAGATAAGGATGCGTACTGTAGTTGAAGCCTGGAAGAAATTTCATCAAGTCTCTGCTTATTGCTTGCTTTTGTGTCCTTTAATTAAATGTGTTAATTATTATAAAGAACCACGCATTCGGCATCTCAAGGTCATGTATTCCACCGTTGTCTTTGCTCGAGGTCGTAACCGAAACCATTGGCTGACTTCCGTCTGACGTCGTATTGCGTAAATGCACTACACTGCCGAATAACTTTGTTTTAACTTACTTCTAGCATAATATGCCTATTTATGAAATCATGTGTGTAAGCATTAACGTATCAACACTTTACAAATGCTATACAAGTGCTCCATTCATCCGACGTCCATCTTCGAATAGCGACACTTATTACGAGACATCTAGCTACAACTAAGAAGTGGTACACTTTTGTATGAGCTTGATAATTTGAGCACATAACGGCTATTACTAAAAATGTAACGTGCAAATAAATAACAAACAGATGTAGCGAACAGCTTCAGACAAACGTCCCCAATACAGCATATAAACAATGACAGCAAAATATGTGTGACAGCAGGCGCTTCAGCTGCGGAAAAGCTGGTCGTGGTTATGAACCTGGTGCAAATTGTTCGTTAAAGGTAGCCAACGTTAGATGGCTAAGCTCACATTTGCTCCGTGATGGCCCATTCTTCTTCCCCTCCTGATCAAACCACCCAGACATAGTGCACTGCCTTCATCAGACATTTACGTCAACGAACGAGATTTATACATTAACGTCGAACTGTTGGTAAGAGCGTAAAGCTAACTATTGGCTTCCTTAACGACCTCTTACTCTAATGCTGCAACATTCTACAATACGCAATTTGGACTTGACTCTAGCCCGCTATCTAAAAACATCTAAAATAAACGTTCTGAATTTTACGTCTGACACTGCCGTTAACTTCAGATGTTAAACGCAATTACTATACCATTACTGCTATTGCTGTGATTCCGACTTGCCCCCCTTCAAGAGCTCATTGGCAAAGTTCGGCGCAGATGGATGTTTGCCAGTGGGAAGGTCGGTGGTTTCTCGCTTCTGTGCGTTCATCTCGGAACGAAGAGGTCGTCTTCTTCTTTGCCTTGTCGGGATACGGCTTTGATGGCACAATTGAAAAAAGCAAACGTACTTTTTACAAGGGCCTTAGCGCTTCGCCTTAATGATCATTTTTTCCATGCGACGATGCTTAAATACTCAAATTTCGGTCCCTTTTCTGCATAGCACGATTACGAATTCGAGATGATCGCTCTTTCGACGATCTTTTACGGATATGGCGGGCTTTTACGCAGTCTTCATAAGCTTGATTCGAACTTAAATGCGCGCTGTGTATCCGTTTCTCTACTGATTCACGGGTGTCGCTATGATCACTGTCACCGACTGTAATGAAATTTAACCAGTTTACTCGACACTGTCGTACGCATGGCTGAATAATTCGCAGGTCGGTCATGACACTGCACGCAGGGATTCGGCCGTGTCAATATTGCCTACAATTGGCTGATTTTACCTCGAGTTCACGTACATCCTTACGTTTTAGTTATCGCTTTATTGGTAAAGCCTGCCAGGGAAGACACCGGAATAGCAGCATAATAGAATGCAATCTTTAAACGTTGCCGCCTAACTGCACGTTAGTCATGATTAGGGAAACGCGACAGGCAGCTCGCAGACAACATCATCATGTTCATTAGGACAAAGTGCCTATTGTTGATTATGATTTTAGTATCTCGATTGGTCAATGTTTGTTACCCGAAACATAGAAACTAACGAAAAAAGTGAAGTAACGTAAAGAGAGGGCCTAAGTCCACTGTTGGTAGAATGGTTTGAAAAACAATCCTTGGAAAAAGGAAAATTAATTGTTTAATAGAAACTAACTACGGCCTTATCGGTCTGCTTTTCATATTGTAAATGCCTTATTATGTTTATGCGGCGTTCCGTTGATGTTGTGCGTTGTTATCTACTAGATGTCCTGTCTATAACGTTTAAATGTGGCTTGTCTTATTTGTAACGTATGTACTATGTTAGTCATTAGCATTGCTAAACAGAAATATATTTTGCCAACTGACTCTAGTGTTCCACGAATTCAATCAAGAAATAACGGGCATACGTTTCTACATGTCGAACTTTCAAAACCGTCTATTATTTTCAAAACTGTTTGTAAATTTATTGTCCTATTTACGCCTAAACGTACGAGATATCATTAAGTGTGGCATAGATTGCAATGGCCAAAAAGAATATGACCAAACCAATTATGAGACCTAACCTATTCATGTCTGTTTGGATGAAAATCGCGTGATTCTATGTATTTTAAACCACTGCGGTTTTTCGTTGAGCCATTCCGATAACGTTAAAATCGAGTCCCTTTAACAAGTTTCATTTGTATAGTATACATCTACGAATCTCATATTGTTGCGTTCGTTCGGCTTAACTCACGCGTGATGATTATAAGAAGCTATTTCGTACTAGCTATTTGGCGATTTCTTCCTCTAGTGATGCACGCAGTTCTTTGCTTAATTCTAGATAACCGTAGTAATTGCAGAGTGTCATAGCCTGCGACTGCAATGACTTACCAGTAACAAACTGTAAAAAAAATACCATACTTATCTTTCACTAACGAATCTATGATCACGTGCTTGATCCCATTGTGCGCTCCGTCGCGTTCTCCTGGTACCGGCGGCCGCTGGGTTGGATTAATTTTTCAGGTACTGAAGTTGACTATTCGACCATTCGCCGAAAGAAACCCCATGGAGCTGTGGTAACAGCGCCAGTAAGTACGAAGCAAGTTTCGCCTCTGGTTATCGACATAACCAAAAATTCCTCGACGGGTCGAACTCCTGTGGACAATACACCTACGGAAGAGGGTATCGCAACCGCAAAAACCAAGGACATACTTCAGACTCCTGGTGAAGATCACGATGCCGGAGATGAGGGTGGTGGAGATTCAAGCGAGGATGGCCTTACATTAAGTATCACCGACAGCGATGATGACGAGGATGAAATGGAAGCAGATGCAAACGCGGGAAAACCGCATAACGTTACTCAACATAAGGTAGGCCAGCATAGAGCCTACCTTGAGCGAACATACATTGGCAAATAAATTTTTTTTTTTTGATAGAACAGTATGAAATAATCGATACGTGGTAGATTTAGTGCCAAAAGTTGGTTAACTATGACACGTGAACAATTCAGTTGTAGCTATTCTAGAAAAAAGAAGGATTCAGAGAACTAAACTTCCCTTGAAGGGCTAGTGTCAGTTGCTTTCAACTGCCATGGCAATGTTATTATTATATTTTTTCTTGGCCTTCTAGGAAGTGCCAGAAATCGTTGTTCTGGAAGAGGTCGCCTTGCAGGTTACTGGCGACGATCGATGGGGTGAAGATAGCGCACGAGAGGCATTGGGCGACGCCACATCACCTCCGTGGGCAGTTGGTGAGCCTATAACTTTAACCTCACCACCTGAAGATGCCGCAAGCCCTGGTACCGCCGGAGGCAGTGTATCATTAACGGAGGTCAGCGAGTTCAGCTCGAATGAGGCCAGCTCAGACGACAATCGTGAACATGAGCCAGAAAAGATGGACACTGATATCGCAAAAGATTCGACCATTAATAACGACAACCAAAATGGTCATAAAGAGAACGAGATCGATTCAGATTGCTTCGGGACAGAGCCAGATTTGACAAGGGGTACCCACGTAACAGCTATCACTGCTTGTAGACAACAAACGCCCCAGCAGCCGCACTCACCGGCGACTAGTGTACTGCTAGATTCAAGCATTTGTCGCTCGGCTAATCCTAGAGTCCCTCCAAGGGCAAGCTGTGACCAACAACCAGTATCAATAGCAATGACGACAGCAGTAGTAACGTCGCCTTCATATAGAAAGCCAATCTCATCAGAATATCCTACCCCAGACGAGATGATGGATGACGCGCAACAGCTTGAAGAAACGAGCGAGTCCAGTGCAACTAGTACCTTAGGTAGAAAAGCTGAGGAAGTCGATGCTAGCGGTGCGAGCACATGCGTCAGAGCCGCAACTGAGATTATGAACGATGAATCTTCTGCGGCTTGTCGCGAGCAAACAGACTTCGCTAGTATGATGACGCGAAGCGACTCGGCGAGCGACCGAGACCAGCTTATGATGAGCGTCCGCGATGACGCCGATGTCAACGTTGATGGAGATTGTGACGAAGCGTCGCTATTGTCACCGACTTCGCCGCTGTCTCCCAGCGGGAATAACGATGCTAGTGGAGGCCCGTCGCCAGTGTCACCCGAATACGAATCGATCTCGAAGTTGGATGATGATTTTCCGGTGGTTCGGGTCGAGGGATCGTTGTCGGTAAATAACGGCAGCATTGGTCAGAGTGGTACACTTGCACCGGTTGCTACCCTTGAGACGTCGGATGAAGAGGACCTCACGCTGTCGGAGTGGGCGAAAGAGGGCTCAGAGCATGGGAGTGCTTTGGAGGACCTGCATATAACATCACATCAGATTCCGCTCGGCCGTCAGTTACTGTCGCAAACGCAACCACAACAACAACAACAGCCACCTGCTCGCCTGCAAAAAGGCTACACATTTCACTTGAGCGGACGACGTGATGACGCGCTGCCAGCACAGAGGCCTAACCGACTCGAAAAACTAGAAAATAGTAAAAATTCGGAGAATATTGGTAATATCACACCTACAAACTCAACTGATAGACTTAATTTGGTCCACCAGCAACAAAATAATGAAACTCAACAGCAGCAGCAACAGCCAATCCGGATCAGCAGCAACTTACGACCTGGCGGAAAATTGTTGGGCTCTAATCAGACAACCGTGCTATCAGGCCCAGCAAGCGTGACAGGCCAAGGTACGGGCATTCTCGACAATTACAGGACGTTGCCATTTAAAACGCATGCTTCGCTTCTAGGTAAGTTGTCGCGAGCTAATGATGAAAAGTTACAACTGAACATTCATTACAAGAAATATAATTGTGCTTTGGTATGAATGCGCTACCAGTCTAGCCACTGGAATGGCACCCATTCAAGTTAAAAAAATTAATCTAAAAATGCTATTGGCCATTCGTTATATCGTCAGCAATTGGTTTATATGGGTGTAACTTTAAAAAAAATTTACTGGTGTCGTTGGCGCGTTAGTTGAGCAGCTAAAAACCTTTGGCTGAAAAAGCCAAAGAGCTTTCCAGTGTGAACCTCGTAATATGATTATATATACGATTGCAGTGAAATGAAAAAAATAGAGCGTACTACTTATGTATGCATTTTCAATTCGGCTCCCTAATTTACCGGGTCATAACCGGCTAATGTTTAATCATTCTAATATCCGTGTGCTATTATTTCTCTATTCTACTGCATTTATTTACATTTCGTAGGTAATCCGCTTGAGCGTTCGTCAAGCGCTAATCGCATTGATGAAGCGGCTAAGGCGGCGTCCACCAAAAACGCGAAAATTTCTCCACTGCCAAAATTCACCGGGTACGGCGGCCGGTTTGCAGAAAAGATTTGTCGGCCCACCGAGTCGGACTCGATCTATTTAAAAACGTTAAATATTAAGTTAAAGAACTTCGAGTTCCCGTCGATTCGTTCTGCGAATTCTTCGCAGAAGGGTTCACAAGACGACCTGCTCTCTGACGATGACGAGGCATTTCGCACGACCGCCGGCACCGAACTGCAAAAGTCGGCGACTTCGCCAAGTGTGCTCGATCACAACAAAAATCTGCATACAGCCGTGGCTCACGCGACTTCCACAGGACCTCATGGTCGCGAGTGTGACCATCTTATTAATGCTGTAAATACTACCCACCGGGAGCAACAACCAAACCGGCGGGCGACGTCGCCCGGCCGCCTTTCGCAGGTATCACAATCGTCGGTATTGGCCCGCGACCCTGTCGCAGCATTAACACAGCTGAAGGCCGTCAACGAAGCAAGCATCTATGAAAACGTGAACAACCTGCCATATTTTGACGATCGCATCAGTTTGGCAGGTTTTAAGGTAAACAGTGGGGCAAATGCAGCAGTTGGAGCAGCGGCAGGTGAAGGGACGTCTGAAGTTGGCGGTGATATGCCGCCGCCACCGCCACCACCATTGGTGCCAGCACCTGGCAACGATTATTCAGTGTTTGCTACGCCCGACTCGAAAGGTCGAGAGCAATGGCGGTTCAGGACAGGAAGCGTGTCCTCGCTGTGCAGTATTGATCGCGAACGTGCAAGGTGCGTAAGGACTAACGAGTCACACAGAAAGACTATATTAAAAATTGCCGCTGTATGACAGAATTAATAGAAAAAAAAAATCAAGTAGTTTCTTCTTGATTACGGCTGTAAGAGTACCTTCAAAGGTCGTGTTCGTGGTTATTCATAGAGATCATTGTACGTCGGTAAAAAAATGTTCAAGTGTTGCAAGTGATTTCTGTTAATATGAACATTTATGTTTGTCGTTATTTTTGCACGAACATAACAACACGTGTTGAGTAGGCAGGAAGCAAGAGAACGGGCCAAGCTTAAATCGGATGCCGAACTGGGCATCAGTCCGCCTTCAGCCTGTGTTAGACGGCACCGTGATCGATTAGTCAGCGAAGATGGCGCCTGGGACCCAACGGTAATGACGACACAGGGAGCAGTTGGAGCTACACCGATAGCTCGACACGCTGCAACTGGCGTCCATCCGCCACTTAGGCCCCAGTCCGAGTACCTCGAGCGTGCACCCGACCCCGAGATGTTATCAGCTTTTCAGCCTTTACAACAGGCGAAGGCAAGGATAAAAGTGGTGCAGCCAAGTCCGTCGGCGACTGTGTCGACAACCAAATCAACTTCGCTGCCGGCAGCCGCTGGTGATTCCACACGAAAGGTATCCTCCTCAGCGCCAGCCACAAAAGCCCAAAAGACACCTGAAGCGTCCGCCAAAAAGAGGTACGTATTATGTTATGTAAGATCACATTGACTTAGGGACACTCCATTGCAACTTCTTGTAAACCGTTCTTTGCCTCGTTAGCGCTAGCCTACGTATAATAATATCTTGTGTTTGTTAGCATGATTTTTTAGACCGCTAAATCTTTAGCTGAAAAGTCAGCAGGGGCCATAGGCTCAAGTCCGAGCAACAATATATACTACGAGGTAAATGTGATTAAATTAAGCAAAAAAACATTGCAACAGGCACATTGTTTGTGCCTGTAAAGTTTAACAAAGGTTATTTCATATAATATACAATCGGGAAAAGAAGCTTTCAGGTGTTTGGAGCGATTGTACGCGTTATGTATTCAATTTGCCTTTTCCTGTGGGTTTTTTTTTGTTTAAGGTTGTTTTCGAGCGGCGAAAGCAGCCCTTCAAGCAAGACGGGCGCCTCCGATGTGCGGCAATCGAGGCCTAATTCGGCAGGTCATAAGGCACGGAATGCGCTGTTCTCGTTTCTGACGTTCGGCAGTAAGAGTAGCGCAAGTTCCGCTAATTCGACCGGCCACCGCGATAGCAACGGCGGAAATATTAACGGCCAAAACCATCAGCAAGCATCAGGCCGTAAAGACAAACAAGACAAGGGTGAACTTCTAGCGAAAAGCCCTTCAGGCAAGGTGACGATATCGGCCAAACTTAAAATGCTCTCACCAAAGGCACAGGGCAAAACACCACGAGGCTCTCTTGCATCGGTTGACAGTCAAGGCGGTGATCGTGAAGAGGATCACCATGCCAAAACCAGTAGCAAGTTTAGCAAGGATGTCCAAGACAAAAAGCGGAACCTGAGCCAGGACAGCTTGCGGTCAACAGGACATGCAGGCCCATGCACGCCAAACAGTGCTACAGCGTCCAGCGGAGTCCGTAGCGCGGGCAGCTTTTCGGTTGTCACCGAGCTCGGTTTAGTCGGTTCGGTGGGGTCCGGTTTGGGACTGTGCGAGTCGCGGTTAGGCAGCGTTGGCATGAGCACTCTCATATCGGGAACTGATTTGCTGCTTAGCGGAAGTGAGAGCGACAATGATAATGAGCCGTTTCCCGATGTTCAGGACATTCTGAGCGACCGGCGAGTAGAGGCCACCGATAAGGACAAAGCTGAAAGATTCCAGCAGCGTGTATACAAACAGCAGGAGCTAAAAAGGGCGCGATGCGCTCAGGAAATTCAGCGGAAACTGGCCGAAATCGAAGTGGAGCGTGCCGGGATTGAGGCGCGAGGGGTCGACGTAGAGAAAGAACTGCGTCGTCTAGGTCAGGCTCCGGCAGCTCATCTAACAAATATAACAGCGGACAAGGAACGATTAACACAAGAACTGTTCGAACTTCTCCGACAAAAGAATAAGCTTAATCGACGTGAACAGGAGCTGCTTATCCGGGCCAAGGATCTAGAGTTGGAAAACCGGCACGCGAAGTTACAAAAGGAAATGCGAGAACGAATGGCCATTGATGGTAAGTGAAGCATAATCAACTAAAAGAGGAAAATACTTCTGTGTTCGGCTTATGTGGCTTATATGACTGATTTTAATAGGATTAATTGTGGTAGCTAAGGGTCATCCTAACAGTATTTTATGACGGCAGTAGTAACTAGGTAGGACATAGAGTAATTTCAAAAAATTATGTTTTTTTGAAGAAATACCTACCTTCTGACCACTTTCGGAACGACCTTGAGAAAACAGTGAAAGTCTTAGATTTGATATAGAGTAGATTCTCGAGAAGGTCACTACATAACTTGAACCTCTATTTGAGGCACCTGATTGAGGTATTGAATATGGCCTAGATTGTTTTTTTCTGGCGAAAGGCTTATGTCAGGGAGGCGGCCAGCTCCGTGTAATGCGAACACATTGGCAAAATGCCAAATGTGAAAGTTTCATATGATCAAATAAAATCTCAGCTTGGTAAGTGATTCGACTGAAAGTAAGACACTTGTCGTTTATCCTGGCGCTGTCCACAGCTCGAATATATACCCTACCATAGAGCCGATTTTGTGCTGTTATGTTCAATAGGCTTGCCAAACTGTACGTTTGTTTTAGCGTATGTGTCGCAGTTTAGTTTATAACATGTGTACCGTATGTGAAACACGTTCTACCTGCGTCCCTACTTTGTTTTCAGTTTTACTAACTTTCCCTTCCTTTGCGTTTATCTTATTTGTTTGCTTTACAGACTCGAAGAAAACCCCGCAAGACGTGGGTGAGGAGCGCGCGATTCTCCGAGAGATGTTGGAAATTCTTGAAAAACGTGACAAACTTGTTGTACTACACGATCAGCTAGAACTCAAAGAACGTCGGGAAGAACGCGAGATTGAAAATCGTATAAAAGCAGCGCACGCGGCACACGCAGACGCAGCTGCAGCGGCAAATGTAGATGTTAGCGCTCAACAATTTATACACATCCCTGGGCTTACCAGTGATACGTCCCACGTCTGACTTGTTCAAGCCTCCATCGACAGTGCGTTGCTGATGGGGTCCTATCATATATGAATAATAACAACAACAACAATCATAACGTGCAACAACGTTGAAACAGTAATTACAAATCTGTGGTAGATTTTTGTTGCTGTGCGGTTGGCAGTCATTAGCTTTTCGACAGACGCAGCAAATAAGAAGGTTGGCATTGAATGAAGGGTATCAAAATGTCTAAAGTGGCGGCCGTCTGCTGCTTCTATGGGTAAAGGGCTTTTATTGACGGTTTTGTATTTACTTATTTTTATCGGATGACACTACAGCTGGTCCGTTACAGACGCTATAAAAGACCCGCAACAGGAAATACCGGAACTTATTTGTCGTGGTAGTTGACGCTACACGTATTGCGTTACTGCTAATACTTTCAGATCAAATGCGTCCGACCTTCAACGATTACTGAGAGCTTAGGTTGTGCTATATCCGCGCTAGCCATTTTACAAATGTACGAAAAGGTAGCAGCTGGAGCCACGAAAGTGGCCAACAGAGAAAAAAATGAGGGTAGCAGCGATCAAGTCAATGGTGAAAGCAGACATAGACACACACATACACGTCACTCAACCGACAGAAGACACACCAGAATGAAGTCAAAGGTTTGACCATTTACCGCCCATTCCTAAGTGACTCAAGAGTCGAACAGAGATCACCAAATCAATTCTATCGCTGATCGATCAGTACGCACTGCAGGAACTTTTGAACGATTGTATGGTCGATACCAGCCTCTAACCCCTGAGTTGGTCTGAAGAAGAACCGAAATGAGAGCTGAGGGGAATTGACATGCATAAGCATACGAATATTCACTCTGAATTCATCGGTCTCGTAAGCAAGTAACAGCCAAACGCAGCATTTGCCGAGTGTTACATACTTCTTCGATAGATACACTTAACTTAAACTTACTACATTATATAGCGAAAGCATGCCTGAAATAGTAAACAGAAGGATGCTATGTGGCAGGAATAATGATAGTAACAACGTTTTGGTCACAATAAGACACATAACAACTGCAGACTATTACGATGATGAGAAGAGCGTAAAAAAAAAAATATATATATATATATATATATATATATATATATATATAGGCAAATGTAAAAATAATGATGTTATTGCATGAAAACGAAGAAGCTGCACAAGGCTTGATCGAACCGAGCAAATAGGGATGGAGCGTTAAGCCACTGTTCTGTGCCAGCTACCGATTCAGCCCGTCCGTTTAACGATAAGTAACATCAACTATAGCCAATCATCTAAGGAACTGACCAGTCAACTAATCAATGAAAATATATATACAATTAAAGATATCTGAGGCATAATAGTCGATTATGGAAACAATTACATTTATATTTACATTGGATAGATACGGAATCGCTGCTTTCTGTCCATGTCTACCACTATGGTAACTAGGCCGCATGTGAGAAACACTACGTTATAGCTAAGACAAAAAATAATAAAAGACAAAAAAAAGATGTTATAGCAACATACATTTGAAGTAATAACGGAAATCCTTATTGACGATAAAACCAGGGGTAAGCAGAGGCTACGTTTTGACAATGATCTTATTCAAAAGAAGACAAGCGTAATTAGCGCCGCCATGTACGTCATTCTAACGAACTGATGGTGGGTGGTTGTTATTAATTTGCTACGGATCAACGGGACAAATCGTTACGACTAATCGCAGATGTTAATTATTTCACCATGAAAATTTGAGTGAATTTGGATGATTCTTCAATGGCTTAAGGTTATTAATTGAAGCTGATAAAACCAACGTAATTTTGTAGAGACAAGCTATAACGTTCTGCATGTATGTTTTACTTAACCATTGGGCTTTAAAGCTGGCTGAATTTCTATTGGGACTGCTTGCCATCTGGCGCATTGTTTACTTTTTGTTTGAATTAGATCATGTCATCGAAAAACCAGCATACTTTTCGACTCTGCCTATTCTGGAATTTCGTCGCCGTTAGGAAATATGCAGCTCGGATAAGCGAGGCATCCTCATCCCCATAATCAAGGGACCGGTTTGTTGTCCTAAGTCTAGAGGAAAGGAAAGCTACAGGATCTCTTGTCGTAAGCGAAGTTACCCTTTCCCTAAGAGCTAACAATGACTTTAATCAAGTAAAAGCTGAAACAACAAAATTACCTTTCGGCCGATCAATTACATACAGACTCTTCCTTACGGGAACATTAACATATATATATATATACTAGGTAAATATTTACAAACTATCCTACACGCGATAAGAACAATATTAGTTAAAACGCGAGTATTTTTTTATTATTTGTGTTCATTGTATCGCTCAATTGCGCCTGAGATGACTAGTGCTACCTAATGGCAAAACGGAAACTTTGTGCTCTTACAGACGTAGCTAATACACAATATATAGCACTAGATAATGATGATTAAGATCCTATGGTACCCGTAGCAGTATGAGGAATTAAGCAAAAATAATAATAATCAATTTATATACCTAGCTGTGGCTAAACGAAATGCTAAAGTAGAGCTAGAACAAGCTGTGTCACCTTCGACCGAATCAGCTGAAGTCTGTTGAAACCCACTGGGTCATGGTAAATGACTGACCACCGATATCAGCATAACCACAGAATCTATACAATATTCGTCGCTGCTGCGTGTTACAGTTGATGCATACCATTTACCTTGTGCATTTCCGTACGTCACCTCTCGCGTTTTGCTACCATTTGTGCTACTCGAATATATTAAATAAACTGAGATGTTCCGGTGAATTGTATGAAACAGCGTCGTCCATAGCGCTGACAGTGAAGAAGGGGAAAAGCGGATGCTTAACAACAACAACAACCAATACTGCTATGATATTAACGGTATAACGGTATTGAAGACAAAACTTACTGTTATACTATTCATAACGAAGATATGAAGACAGCGGACGATTTTAGCCATTCTACAACATTGTTTTAATTACAACTGTTACTGCTGCTGATGTGGCGGCCGCTGCTGCTTCAAATGTATACGGTTATCGGTGATTATGTTTGGCTACTAAAACTAATCATGTTTTTGTAATTTACCGTTACGGGAAGGTCCAAAAGAGGTCGCTGTATATCAAATAAGACATGAGATATTGTTTCGACGCTGAAACGAACAATATTGAAAAACAGAGGGCGAAAAAAGACGTTTGCGAGTTGTGCTGGTATTATTGACTTCTCGATTGAACCACTTTTGCTGGTTATGATAAGTGACTTTTCCCGACCAATCCTGAGCTGCGCTTTCGAACCTATCGATGTCATCAGTAGGATCATAGATTGTTGCGTTAGTGAGGTGTTCTTGTAGGTGATTTGTGTTCTACGAATCAACCGAGAAACATTCAGTCTGTGAGGCTCAAGTAGTAAGCAACGAGCTCGTTGAGTTCAACGTTGAACAATCGTTCAACCAGTGAACTTTGGGAGAAGCGGGAACTCACTTTTACATTCATTGCTTTTATATAGAAATCGAATATCGATAAAATCTCCTGTTTTAAGAATCTACTATAAGGGATCGCAGACTTATCTCATAGCGAAACTACGACAAACATCAATATCGAGCACTGAGAGCGTCAGCTAAGATTGGAAAAAGAACGAAGAGGAAAGCAAGCATATGATAATAGCATGCTGCCTTTGTACGAAATTAGGATGGTAACCTTAAATGCCGGCGGAGGACAGTTTCAATCGAAGCTGACATCAGAGACAATCGTTAGCGTGCGAATGAGGCCGGGCTGAAACCCAACGTATCGGGCAGTCGTGTTGAAATCCCCATGTGTGCAACCGAAGCAAACAAAGGCCTTGGCGATACGGCCTCCGGTGTCTGAACACAACAGATTGATAGGTGCAGATTTCTATTTATATCAATGAGTATATGGATTTTTCCTTAGCTAAATGCCCAGGTAAAGTTTGAATAAGGCTCTTTAATCTCTAAAAATGTTCGCTTTCTATCTAATAATGACACTGGAAAAGCGATTTACCGTAAGCTCACTCATGCCCTGCTACTTAGTCGAACAAAACGAAAAATTATATCGCTACATGCAACAGCCGCCGTAGCGGTATCAACAGAACAATCAACGATCAACTACATCCCTTAGGTGTCACTGTAACGTCTAAAATTACCAAGAGAAAGTAAGGCCAACGAAAGAAAACACTCGAGAGTGGGATCTTTCACATCACTCCTGCCTGTATTTGCTAGCTACTAGCTATTAGGTAGCTTAACATCGATGAAAAACAGCGTTATCCCCACTGCAAATACCCCTGGTTTCGCCTCGCACATAAAGTAGTCCTACAGCCGTCTAACATACATCGACATCCCTCAGAACAACACACAAAAAAGCCGCCTGCGACTACACAGAAAACCACTCGATGTTTTTGAATGCCTAAACTACAGACCGATAGATGCGAAGAACGAAAGAGGTTCTTGTGTGATTGATCGTTGGACATGGGATCTGCCGCTTGATTGACGAAACGGAAACGCCTTACGCTAGGCAATACGCATTTCGCGTTATATATATATCTATATGATGTGAAAGTTGTGCTGCGGTGGCTTCAACTGTACGGAAGAAGAAATAGAAGATGTCCGGCTGTAGTAAAAACATATAGAATTGTGTCAAACTAAAGCTTGATTGACTGCGTTGAGTGGGTGATGCATTGAGCATTGACGGGATGAAGTATTTGACTCACGCTGCCATGCGTCAAATGGCAAAATGGATAAAAACTGTAATAACATCTGGCACTAGCAGAAGTAGTGGAAGACGCATAGCCACTATATATACGACTATAAAATGAGGCAAGGCAGTATGGTGAAGATAATATTATACTGTAAACCGCAAATCTGACGAAAAAAGCACCAGATAGTAAAAGGATACAGCAAACGCGATGGAACATTGTAACGGTAGAACTAGAGATAGAACTATATTATTAATCATAGTGAAACGAAAGAAGCATTAATACGGGTAGCGTGTTTTCGGGAGCAAAATAATAACTAATGAAGTAGAAATACAAACATGGATGTACATTCAAATTTAGATGCCTCTTCTTGTAAATAAATATGTCTAATATAATCAATTGAACCTTTGTGTTTGTTTCTACAAGAGGAGAGTTGGATATGAGTGACTGTGTCCATGAGCAAAAGTACGAACCGAATTGAAAACCGTATCAAAACCCAAGGAGTATGTATAAAACATGGAGGATTAGAAGATAGGGGAATCGTAGCACGGATGCAGATTATAACAATATGTCTTCCAAAGTATGTCGACAATATTTCAAACTATTATGGAGCAGTTACATAATTGCGTTCCATTACATAAGAGGATTACTTAAGACACAGACATGTTGACGAGTATTTATTTAGTACTGCAATTACTTCTTGATTTTCATTTATGATGAGGAATATTTTAATTACAAAATCATTTCTATGATACAGGTTTCAGCGCAATACGCGTGTGTCAGGATAAACATGCGGATATATACAACTGTTCGCCGAAGAATTGCAGTGCTCGTACTGCAACATCATTCAATAAGAGAAGAATGTTTATAAATGAGCAATGCTCTACGTTTATAGAACTCATCAACTAGAACCTACGACAAAACATTTATTTAGTGGAACAAACTTAATCTATTGTCCACTCTAGACATTTTTTTCTATATACAAGTAAGCTATTGAATTTTTTTACCTTATTGGTTCCACGTTTGATGATAAGAGAGATTTTGCAGTTGTTAGAATCTCTCAATATTGAATTTTAATCAGACGAATCTCTAAATTTGCGATGTGTAGAGCATTTGAAAGAAGATGATTTAACAACTGCCGTCTAAAAAGGACTCTGGTGGAAAACTTCGGAAGGATCCAACATTTTCCAAATCTTTGAACGATTCTAAATGGTTTTTGTTTGAATTGAACATTTAGAAAGAAAATTACGGAAGCATCCGTCTATTTGCGATACGGCAAATTGGCTCGACTATTGGGACTCGACCTTCTAGACGACGTTATTCTCAATAATTTCCTTCTTTTGCTTGAACGTTGCCGATAGGAAAACCGGTAAAAATATAAGTGCGTGTAGCGCTCCGAGCACAATAACCAGGAAGACTGTCTTAAAAAAGGTGAGAAAGATATAGGACGGTGCAGCGGCCAGAATGATGATACCGAGCAGGGTTGACAAGGCACCCTGGACGACTGGTACGCCCAGCGCTGACAACGTTTCAGCAACACGCCCCTCAGGAGTTGGAGCGCGTCCGGTAAGAAACGCATGTGCTATATGCGCTGAATAGTCAACAGAAAAGCCGATACACATAATCAGATTGATCATCGAAATCGAGTCGAGGTTGACGCCCCACAGAGTCATGAAGCCGAGAACACCGAGCTCGATCGAAGCGATTGTAAGTGCCATCCATGCAACCGCCCAGCCCGACGGCAAGAGTAAAACTGTGACCAGGATCATGACGAGGGTAGCGACTACTACGGATTGGGCAGTAGTCGAGCGGACTAGAAGGAACTGATCGAAGAATACGAACAGTGGATGGAACACGGTAACGTTGAAAGCCGAGTGACGATCGGCAATCTCTCGAAGCTCCATCATCATAGCAGCCTCATCGTTGCTGCTACGAACATCTCGAGCCTGAAGCATACACCTGCGCCACACACAAAGAGTATATAGCTGCTTAATTTTTCTAGGCGATAACGGTTCGTAAGGAGGCTCATTGAAAAAAAAGAACTATTGAGAGAGTGGTAAAAAAACCACTTTGCTATTTCCTAGTCAAGCTGAAAATCGTCGGTGACTCGGTGGAAACAGGAACACCTTTTGCAGAATGATATTATGAGTGCAAACAGATAAACGCGAATCGTCATATACACGGCTGACAATTTCACTGAAATGAAACCGGCTTTACTGTTTTATGTATTCGTTGACTTTTTGCTCAAATTTCGCTTTCTATCTACCGCTTAATGGCGTGTTTTTTTTTCCAGTGATACGGCCTTTGATTGCGCTGGACAAAAAATAGATTTCGGTGAAACAGATGCAAAATACCATAAGCATTAGACAAGGAATATTGCAGTTTACCTAGATGAAACTATGCTCTGATTCTTCCAGCGGACATCCTTTCGAATGATAGAGATTCCGGGACTGCTGAAACAAAACCACACAGAACAGATGTAATTTATAGTATATTGGACATAGAAGGTCACTAGCGTCTTGATTGGGCATATTAATGATACATATCTTTGTTTTTAGCTGGTTGATCATATTTGCAAACGAATCGATATTTGAAACTCAGTTTTATGATGACCTAGAGCTTGGACCGTTTCCAGGACTATCGGTTGATTAAGACAATTTACCCATTAAATAATAATTAACATAGTACAAAGAAATGTCTTTTTCTTGATAGAAATTAGTAGCGTCTGTTTTTTTTCTCACTGTTGGCACCAGTTCCCATATACCGGTCGCTACAAACTACCAGCCCTTTAGATAACAAAAATCCCTCGCTATTCCGAATATCACGTATACCCTCTATATCATTAGTTGGCATTCTGGTTTAATCGTTGTTAAACTTACGCGAGGTAATCTGCTAGACTGCCGAGTTTGGCGCGGCGGGAAAGAACTCCAAGGTACTCTCGAAGCCTCGTGGTATTGGCGCTTTCCCGGAACCAGCACTCCGTTAGGGCACGATTACGCACGTAGGACGATGACTCGAAGTCCTCGATAACTGGGGCTAATTCTGCGACCTCAGCTAACGTATAGTTCAGTGGCCGGTTAAACACGACCTTCGACATTCAAATTACGAAACAAATTTAGATATGTCGCAGGAGGTTTTTATATTGAGAGAAAATAAATTGTCATCGAACTTCGATATCTACAGAATCACGCTGTGAGGACTACTAATCTTTACCACTGCATATAAGAGATATATTAGCATAGATGGAAAATGCAGGTCAAGTACTCTTATACGGCTTGATGCCATTTTCATTCAGCAATAGCATTGGGCTTCAAAGAAAAGTTCAGGAGCTTACTGCAGACACACCTGGACGCGGTAGGGGTAACTTTTGAAATACTTATCGTCCGCGATAAAGAAATCCTTCGCATATGAATCATCTAACGTGAGCCTGCAAGAACGAGCCGAAATTAGATTTGTTGACTTAATCTGCTAGAGTTGCAGAAGCATGACCGACCAAACACTGAGTAACGCAGTTATGAGTTCAGATGTTATGCAGCATGACGCTTATCTGTGGCCAGTGGGATCTGCATCGTTATACTACTCAATTATTATAAGCAAGGCACAATGTGACCATCGAATCTAAGTAGAAAGTGATCATATGTTAGATGAAGTATATGTATGTATGTAGGTATAGATAGACGCTTCCAAGTTCTCCATTTACCGAGCTCTGTCCAGACCCTCTTTAAGTTGCGAGCATCCGTAGGCAGCGACGAACGCGTAGGATAAGAAAAGTACCACAACGAAACGTTTCACTGGACGACGAGACAGAAATGGTGCGACACGATCGCGGAAGATACAGTAATTATCTTGTTTAATTAGCAATTGACTGCTATATTGCTTATCGCTTGTGCTGCTACTAGTGCTATTGCGGCTGCCGGTGATCTGTGTCCATAAGGTGAGGGATGAATAGATATTAAACAATGTTATTCGTTTTTTCAGTCGTCATTGATCGTTTGTGTTTATGATTGCAAGAAGGAACCTGACGAGGCATATTTAGTTTGGCAAAAATGGTTTGAGTAGTCTACTGTCCGCCATAAATACAGCTTTCGCTGAATACAGGAAGATCTATTTGTCGCTTATAGCTAAACGAGCTTGCAATCTGTTATCGGTCCTATTAGAACTGCGAAACACGTAGTATTCCGTATGATAATTATTGTTCATATTTAGCAGAACCACGTTTGAGAATACTTTAAAATAACTATTATATTGTTTGTCTAACTTAACGAGAGAGGCTTGACAGCAAGTTGCAGGAACTCAAACACAACTACGGTGCTGAACATGATATAGCGATCTATAGGAAGATTGTTGAAAAGGCAAGTTGAACGTCTAAAAACAAACCCCTAATTTTTTATTTCTTTTCGTATCTTCCGGTAGCCGATACAAGAATAAACCGTGCAGGCGAAAAGATTCACAATAGCCGAACACTGCAATCAGCGCGCCTAGTAACAAAAGTTGTAGGAGATAGGTACACGCTGCACAGACAGCCGTGTACACGCAGAACATGTACACCGATGGGAAAGGACTGCAAAACACATCCCCAGTGAAATGTAGATAAACCAAATTAGGTAGATATTATAATAATAACAATACTGTTATCATTCCAAAAAACGACCCGTCTTACTCCCGTTTTAAACGGCGGTAAGGCGGATCACTGGCATTCTACTAAGTAGCGTAACTTTCCTCGAGGACGCAATTATTCAGTTTGCAAGTTATTCGCCATAAGTAGTTCTATTCTATTTTTATTTAGTTCTATTTTATTATTTTCGTTGAGGGTGCTTCTCAGTTTGCAAGATAAATAGGACTAAAACAGTTCTCTTTTTTTTTTAGTCTGGGATGTTTGTTCTAAAAGCGGATATAAGCAGAGACAGGGATCAAGAGGGATCCTTAGTTGTACTTATTATTAGAACTATGAATTGAAAACGACAGTTATCTACATCATTTCTCTGGTTAACTTAAGTAATTCGAAGTTAATGGACGAGAAGTACGTTTGCGACCAACACTCACCTGTACGCTCCGATGACAAATGAGATGACGTTGGTGATCGATGTAATCGTAATGGATACACCGGCTTCACCAAACATTTGCGCAGTACGGTCCGGTACGCTTAAAGAAGGTTTCGTATGCTTCCAGGCCGATAGCATTACAAAAGTGTCATCCAAACCGATACCTAGGAAATTAGGTTTGTACATACACACACACACACACCCATATGCATATGTTCTCAAAAAAGACAAAAAGTCGCCACTTCTAGCGTACACACAATCTCTAAGAGAATTATTTCTATATCAAAATGTATTAATTATTTGCCTGATGCTGTTCACAAGTGTCACTATGTGTATATTGTTCCCTGTGAATTGCTGCTAGTAATCTAGTTCGATTCAGATCGATTTGTTTCCATGAAAATCATCTCCACGGATATACTGTAGACTAAGATTACCGAGCATTAAAAAGGGCGCAGCGAGATCTATTCCAATAAGTGGAACCCCTGCCAAGGCCATACAACCAGTTGCAGCCCCAACAGATAAGAGGACGGTGACGCAGGAAAAAAATCCAACCCATGGTTTGGCCATATACCATTCACAGCCACCTGTCATTGAGCAAGATACCATTGTGAACGCCTGCAATTTTAGCAGGAATCCAAAGTCACTAGAATGCATACTGATTCCCTGTATTAAGAAGGTCATTAACGATTAGCGAGTGTGTTTCATAAGTCAACACTGCACCTTAAAACTTTGTACTACTAAGGATGATCGATACACCTATTTATTCCATGTTGACCACCGAAAAATAAGAGTTCTGCTAAGGGCATTTCGAGCTGTATATAACACATATATTTACAGATTTCTTATTGCAAGAGATGCACTGACCAGCATAAGAACAATTGTTATAGGGAGCAAGGGCGCTACCGAGAGCATGTTCCGCTCTAGCTCTGCGGCGAGACTTCGTGAGGTGAAGAAATACGTTCGTACGTTGGGTAGACGCATCTCGCTGAGCAGATCAACGAAGGCAGATTCCCACTGGCGCGCTCTGTAATGACGAATTATGTTGGCCATCACTAGAAGGGTTGAATGAAGGCGTACCTAACCAATGTAGGTATGAGTGGACCATTCAGTAAAGGAGCTCCTCACCTGAACTTGCTAGCATCAGATTCTGCTTCTAGATAGTAGACTAGTGTGAGTGCCTGTGCTGAACGTAGACTGCTTCCGTCCTCGGAAAGATTCGCACCGCCAAAAAAAACGCCCGTAGGTATATACTAAAACATGGCATACCGTCAAAAATAAATAATATAATATAAATTAATTAACTTGGTTTTTTTATTTAAATGAAATTGGAAATGTCTGTTGTGTCACTTTTCCACCCCAAACGAGAGCTCAAGCTTAGCACAAAAATCTGTTGAGGAAAAATCGACCGGCTATAGGCTGTTCCAGGTCGTTCGAACTTTCTCAATCTGTTACACAGATACACGTACGCTTTGACTGCAGATAAGTTCCCACCTGATTCAGCGGACGCTGCCGTACGTACGCTAGTTAATCGCTGTGCTGTAAAGCAAGTATTACCGAACGGAATCGATGTAACTATCGCCGATTCAATTTTTCGATCAACTTACGAAGCTTCGGCCATTTTTTCTCGTGATAACGTGGAGCGGATAGTCGAGTGTTAGCGGTCCAAATTCTAGCATGGGCATCATTTTCGTTAATGGCACTAGGAAGTCGTTTACGAAGCAACGCCCATTATCTCGCGCACACAGTTCGGAGTAAGTTCGACGATGTCGTCCTATCGAAGAGGTGTCGGCGGTATTGATGCTCAAAGCGCGAATTAATCTATAAATATGATCAGTAACAAATGTGGTACAGGAAAAGGCCCAGGTGATGTTCGTGTAATGACAGATCATTATTTTTAAGCTGAAATACGGGACTAGGCGTGAATCCACTAGGTATCAGCGCACATATACATGACTGTTAAATAGTAGGATTCTTCGATTACTAATAAATACCTGTCAAGTTGTAAAACATCTTTCCACACTTCGCCGGTAAGTACAGAGCGATTTTTTGCCTCAATTATCACTCGAGCAAATGCCTCGTGTCGCGTCGCCCTGGAAATCGGTCAAGATGTTAACCGTTTTGAAGCCGTCGATTGGGGCTTGGTCGTCAAATGAATCATTACTATTATGAATAACATAACAGAAGTAAAGCCTTTATCATCCCTAGAACACATTTTCATTACACTTCCTATTTATAAATAACATACCCTCATATTGTTTTTTTAAATAATTCATTTTACCAAGTCCAATGTGCCAAGTGGTGAGCCAGTTAATGAATTGTCTGCCATCCCAGAGAACAATAATATTACCTTCCAACGTCGAAATTCAAAGATGTATTTGTCGGGAACGACGCAGCGATAATACGAGCTTCTTCGTATGCTCGTGAGTGCACAGGTGCGAACAAGAATTCGGGGTCATCCAAGTACTTCAACGGAGGAACAAGCCTTTGCAGTGGTTCGTAAGGCACCAGCGGAAGAAGGACGAAGCTGAACAGCCCCAACGAAATGGCAAACGAGGTGGAAATGTACAGCGCTACAAGGGTAACGGTCCATTGGGATCAACACAACATGCACTTTAGTTTCAAAAATTGGCGTGCCTCTTTAAGACTAAGCTCTTAAAATTCCACTGCGGCATAATCTTCACGTTCACCCAATTTTTTAAATTGACTTTTGATAGAGCTTTGGCCTGTTTTCTGAAAATACTAGTAAACGTATAATGGAGAAAGGTAAAACGTATAGTGACATTTCGGCGATGCGATCTTGTAGCTAGCGTAGGCTCGCACTACATTTTTCAATTGAGGTTTCACATAAAAATTTTCGCATTTAGAAAAGTTTTCCTCGAAAGCAACCAGGTATATGCTCGATGTCTGTCACAAAAACGAAGGGTCCAATCAAAAAAGGATATATGTAGAAATATGTTTTTTATGAGAGAGAATAGTTTTGTTATTATTAATCTTATTATAATAACTTCTGGTCATTTTCCTCCTGCCACATTTTACTAACAAGTGTCTTGACTGCTTACTAGATGTTCGACAAACAGAAAGCTCAAGTTTGAGGGTCATTGACATGAAGTTAACGAGAAAAATCATCTGTCGTTGTTATATTTCACTATGTGTGTGTGTGTGTGTATTAACCGGAAAGCCATGTTTCTCAATAGATCATAAGAGCGAACTTTACACTGAAAGAATTTAAACCGCCTAAAACGGGGCCAAAGAACCCACCTTTTTTTTGGGGTATTATTTCTAACCTTAATATCTTTAGGGTCACTTACCTGGATTTCTAGCCAGAGATCGGCCCAACCTTTGGAAACCGTTAGATAGGGCACGCTCAAGGAAATCTCGTTGAACACCAGACATTTCCTTAATACGCGTCCTTACAGCCTACCCGTCAACTGAGCTGAAAGGGCGTTTGGTAGTATTCAAATTGCTGACACTCACAACAGTTAAATCTCTTGCTCTACCAAGCTAAAACTGGCTTAACTTAACGAGACATCGTACGTAGAGATATTCTGTCTTTGGGATTATCTTAGTAAATTACCGCTGTGGAAAGTCTCGAACCCTCGGAAGGTACAGTGTACACTTACTCTAGGGAAGTACTTACGACGAATCTTAAAGATATGTTGGCTAGTCCATAGGGCCGATAGTGTTTATCGGACCTACATACCGTATGACGCCGGTTGCTCGAACGCCGGAATCGTTGATACTGACAACGACAGTCAGTTCACGTTTTCTACTCATCGCATCGTTCGTAGATTGAATATCTTGGCAATGTGCGTCCAACTCTGTACATTTCTATTAAAGTTTGTACCGCGTAGTCGTGATGTGCACACCCTTCAGTGGTAGACGTATAGCGAATTGTTATTGAATTGAAAACTACTGAGCCTTTTGGTAAATCGCCTGTGTTTAACGGTGTATTGTCATTACATGCAGCGAAATTGCTTTATTTAATTACCAAACTAATTAATGCCCACATCTATCATAGGACCTATAGGGAATAATAATCGAAGCGTCTAGACTATTGGTTGGCAAATAACTACATGCCGATTTTAGGCCCTTTATTCCAATACTGTCTCTACGACCTCAAACACCCAAGAGACTGCAAATCTTCTGCCACTATTTTTTTTACATGATAAGCAACGATTCGCAATGCAGGACGTCATAATTCGATTTGCAATGAACTAGACGTTTCGTTTGTGAAACACTTGGGTTTTTTTTTCAATCGTAAAACCCAGACGTTCGACACCGTAGTATTTATGTTCACTCAACACTGAAACAGATACATGTGGAACTCCCAGTTTAAATAATGGTCTAAGACACCCACGCAGGTCGGCTCGGTACCAACAAAGTCCGTAAGCTAACGTTAAACGAGAAGAATTCGGTTAGAATAGAAGACTTACATCAGCGAGTCTTTTAGTAGAAAACCCTAAAAAGCCTTGATAGGAGGCGAAATACGTTAGTATTCGTGCATATATTTCTTATGGAAGTTGGTGCTAAAGAAAGCCTATTTCCGTCTTTCCGTAAACACTATATGATTATTATAATGTCAGCGCGCATAAATAGATCTTATCCTTAACTAATAATAGATTTATAGCAGGCTGCATGAGGTACCCATAATGCTGAAATAGGTCATCTTTGTCAAGCGTTCGTGTCCGCGTCCCGAAAAGGCCAACCTAAGAAGACAAACCGAACATGCAGTGCGGAAATAATTGAAAACACAACATCGTGTTACGCGGTAAGATTTTCTGTAATAAAATAGATATTCCATGGAGAACCATGCCGATGGTTGCAATGGTTTGTAGTGATCATGATAAATAGAACCAATGGGTAACAATTATGGCATATATCGTCCAAGTGGTTCTTAGGTATCCGTAAACGATCATCATCATTCTATTGGTAACTACAGCAACGGCCGAATTGTGTACGAAATTATCAAAGTAATTAAAAGTGATAAAATGATTCGTTACAAATTCTAGGCAATCTATAATACAAGGTCCTCTTCTTTAGTTTCTGAGTATTTATTATTAAACTTTATTGGCATATGGCTCTATCGTATAGTAAATAGGGCTGGGGCTAGGAATCGCTTCGAAGTCGTTTAACCGGTGCTCTCCTGCAAACGTGAAAGTGGAAAAAGAACGTTCTCATCAATATGTCAATAACAGTATTGATTCCTTCATTACCTTTAGATGCCTTACGCAAAAATTGAGTGACCAATAAATAACAATAACCTTGGGAATCGATCTGGACCGAAGCGAGATTTGCAACCTTAGCAAGATAGTGTTGATATTCGGGTTGTTTTCTGTTGGAGCAGCTCTATGAGGTCATGAGGAAGGCCATGAGGTTGAAGCTCGTGTACTACAAATTATTTATAACATTTCCCTAGAACTCGGTGAAAACATTAGAATAAAGAGGCAGATAGAGATTTCGTCGAACCAATATATTCAGAACATACAAAAATTGAGGAACAATGCTGAAATAGCCTTTATCTATAGCCTTAGGATACATGATGGTTCCACAGTCACGTCAGCTACAATACATGCCATAAATTAAGTGACGTGGGCAACCAACACTTTAGGAGTTTTACTGCTCGAAGCGCTGCAAAGGGCGTAAAGAGCAGGTTATCTGTGTATTTACGTACTGTACGTACTTAACATGCAGAATATTTCGTTAAATGAATTAAATAGACCACTGGAAAATAAAAACACAATATGTGAATTTTCAAAACATTTAACTTATACCTGTAATCGTGTCCGGTTCCTTTCCAGATCTATGGATACCAACAGGAAGTTACGACTTTCCCAAATGTTATTGTGTGTGAGCTAGGTAGCTAACGTGTTCTGGCGGAAGATCGATGTGATACGGGATTGCAAAGGGCTTATCCTCTTTAAAACAACCCTGCAAATAGGATTACCAAAATGCCTTCGAACTATGTAGCACCAACCTAAGTTCTCATGGTGCCAAACAAGTTAACTTCAAAAAAGTCTCTGGTTTACCAAATGCACGGCGGACGCTTTATAGAGCATTAACAATAATCATCGAAAGTGTGTTATATTTTACTTGTTTCACGAAAAAGGTGTAAGGAAATACAGATTAAATTAATCAACATTTTGATCATCGAAAAATAAGCGATCTATATCATTTTCTACACATAAAATACGGGTTTTCTTTAATCATTAACAGAGATTTAGCAAACAAATACTTCTGAAGGAATAAAGCAGTTCTGAACTGGAAAAAAATCAGAAAAAAAGGGCAAAAATTAAGCAAAAAAGAACACTTATATTGATAAATCCGACAAGGATTACGAAATGCGATTATTCTAACCCATAACCCAAAACATGCATCAACTTTGCAGTTCTTCTTAACTTTAATAACCCGTCCGCCATTACAACATACAGATCGCAACCATTTTTCACTTTGCGAGGAAAATTAAAAATGATAAACGTTTAGCTACTTCTGGAAAAAACAAATACCGAAAATTGAGCTATACATTTTCTAAGCCTGGCTAAAGGCAACGACTAGGTTTTAGTGAAAATATGAATTACATGCGGTTGATATAGATTTCGTAAAACTTAGGATCTTGACTTCGGTCCTATTGTATAAGGCGCAGGTAAGAATCAATCGGAATACTGAGATCCGATATTTTTATCGCGTTGGTGTCGTGTTAAAATTTATTTAGCCCTTTTAGCCCAAAATGTTCCCTAACCTACGACAGTATATTTTTCCTGTTTTAATATACGATACTACGTATGCTTACACGATACAATCACGCGAATACACCTTAGCAAAAATTCAAAAACACCGTTATCTGAATAGTATTAACCAAGATCTATTTATTGCGCCAATTTTGAGGTCGTGTTGTAGATATTATACAGGGCCGGTTAGGAACTGCTACTGTGACTAAAAGAGCATCTAACTTGCTTTTCACCCAACTCATCGCTTCGCCAGCCTGGAAAATGTAGACTCTCTATTCTTCTATGACACCGATCAAGAAGTCCATAGAACGTTCATAACTTTTCGTTTCGTTTCAGAAATCACCCATTGTACACAGTTAATAACTCAGGATGAAACAAGTTGAATGCCCAGGTACAAACAGGACGCCTAAGCAAAGTTTGTATAGCATGAAACTGCCCATCTCAATAGACTAATAACAACGTATCCTTTTGCAATATCTATCTTACAGATGAATTGAAGTTCAAACATTGTGTTGAATCCAAATATATAGTGATCTCCTTAGCGTTTTCTCTGTAGAGTAAGAGATTATCTCAATTGCGTGATAGATATTACAAATGGAAACCTTACGCTATGGTCAACTGTGTGACATAGATCGAATAAGTAGTCCTTATAGAGTGAGACCTGTCGTCCTATTGGAGTCAAAATAGCTAAAGCAGAAAAATCATAATAATCAAAGAATAGAAAATCGTGCGAGAATCTTAAAAAAATAGTATTCGTCAGTGGGCAAGTTAGTGAATCGTGAACAACGAAGGTGTAGACCACAACCAAAAATTTCAACAAAAAAAAGCCGTTTACTTAATCAAACATTATATTTCTGTTCAATATATTGCTAAAACAGCATTTCCGGCGCATTATAGGCTGCACACACGCGACTGGGTAAAGCAAAACATCACATAATTCCCTATGTTCTATGATTGTTTTAGTCTGCGATACTGAATCAACTTACTTTTGATTAACCTGCCCGGGTTTCATCATTTTTGATGACTTTTTTTGTAAGTTACTCATGTGTCGCACACTAATGATCCGGTGTCGATCCTAGCGACGACGGTGTTTTAATAAAATGCGTGCTCTGATCCTGTTGACCATTGAAAAGGAATCCAACATAATCCAAAAACGGGTGATTATCCAAGTCAGTATCAATTTGGACAGCGACGCATTCACCTACGTTAGACTCTATTCAATTTGAGTGTTCTTTTCCTGTTTTTTCTATTACAATCAATGTTTTTAACCCTTATGAGTTTTTCACATGTCAGGAAAATTCACAAGGAAACATCAGTGTTTCAAAAATGATATTTGAGCAAGCTTGCCATAAATTGTACGTGCCTGTCGTACTACTTTCTTCTTAACTGTAGTTCAAAATAGTTAGTGTTGTCATCTGGGAAGAAAAAGGAAAATCCTTTCAGGCCTAGGTCTCTCGCTTATTTAATGTTTCTCTCTCACGATAATGACCACACCAGAGTCATTGAGTCATTCACACATGCAGAACTGCTATCTTTTCGTATAGTATCCCTGTTACCTGAGACGCTACCAGTCGGTGGAGAACTCGCTTGTATTTCCTTGTTATGTTCGCAAGAAATTGTCAGACCATAGTTCTGTATAGTTTAGTAGCCTCTTCTAGTACATGCCCCTAATAAATGAATGTCGAAGCGCTCATACTGCATTATATATATTTATACATACTTCGCTGATTAAATGCTGGATGGGCATAGATGTTCGGCTTACTTTAGAGAAGTCGTTACTCCTTGCAGTAACATTAGCCACGGGTGGCAAATCGAATCGATCGAAATTTCCCACTCCTGCTCCTTAGCAATAGTTGCCACTTCAAAGTAAGTTTGTCATATCATTATAGGACCATCACTGAGGATGATGAAGCATCAAATTGAACGAGATAGTATCCTCTTTAATCTAATTCGCCTGATATCATCACTTTAATCAGGCGGCAATGTAGAATGTGCCCATGTACTTGACAATTCACCGCACAAAATGCCTACATCGTACGTGACAGACGTCCCATGTTGGGCTACCGTCGGTTTTCTTCCACTGTTTTTCAATATGAAATTTACATTCGACGCTTTTTTTTTATGTCAGCTTCGAAAACTCTAATTTCGAAAAAAACTCTAATTTCGAGGTCGCCATGCCAGTGGTCACTCTGGTCGGCCGTGTGTACGCTCACATGATGCGGGTGGTCACGACGTCTAAAGGGGGTCAGCTCTACGGATCGAACACAGATTGTCGAAATCAGACGGTATATTTGTTTAAAATATTCTAACGCTTCCTATCAATAATTACTAAAAGAAACTAAAGATTTCGTTGGAAACATGGGCGGTTTAAATCGAATCAGATCAATTAGTTACTCGATTAACGCGTACGATGTCCATAGATCGTGTGAATGCACAAGCGACCTGAAAAAGATGTTGAGCACGCCGATTGATTTTATTCAGCTAGACATATATACCGTACGCGCTTGTTATTATTGTACACTGGTAAATTTTAGCCAATGCAGACTTCAACTCGTTTCTTTGCCCTTCTATATGATGTTTGTTCAATTGTTTCCCACAGCGATTTGAGCGATACTTTGGAAAGAGGCTCAATCTGAAAAGCATGTACACTCTGTAGTAAGAGATTTAACTAAAGATGTAAAAACTGAAGCCAAAGGCAAAACGAGACGTCTCTTCTAACCGCTTTGCGCGTCATTAGCGCTAGTATCTATAGGCTTCTGAAGTTTTCTCAAGTATCGCTTTGTCATTAACTTATCCTTTATTATTGATTGTTTGACGCTTTCTCTTTGGCGACCTCAATTCCCAACGGCGCCCTACCTCTTCATTTGATTTTGTCTCCCGCGTTATGCCTGAAGACGGGAGCGAGGATGCTCAATTAATCGCGCGTTTGCGTGATTCAGTTGTTATAGAGTAAAAGAAACTTCATATTTTGTCCACAGACAAGCTTTTTCCAGATACGTTATGTTCTGCTATCTATATCGCAAAGGAACCAGGATCGAAATTAAAATGACCTCTTTTAAATTTTCAAATTTCATGTATTATTGAATGAAATTTTAACTTTTGATGTGAATTACGTGAAAGTACCAATTAATTTTATTTTTAGAGCTGCATGAGAAATGAATCCGATTTTGTACAGGCATATTTGCACCTGTCTAGAGATCGCTCTCTGCCTCATCAAGGCTTTTTTTGCTTTCGTTGTAGCAAATCTGTTATATAGATCTATGGTTCTTATCGACTTCGTGCGCTTTAAATCGCGTCCCGAAGGTGCATGGGTTTTAAGTGCTGCTGTGCAGTTGACAACGCGGACATCTTCACGTACATAAGATAGTCGTGTAGATTTTGCAAACAACAACAACAATATTGCAAGGGACTACGATCCACGGGAAGAATTTAAGTTGATGTCGCCAGCCATAAGCGTTCGAGATGCATAGAAACGCTTTGTCCCGCCTACCATCTAACTGCTAAAATGGCTTAGCCGTTAAGCAGCGTGACAACAATGGCGCCAAATTTGAATTTTTCATTTCTACAAGGTGTCCTACGTCAATCTTTTTGCTATGTTGCCGCCATTTAAGTCATTCTTTCGCTGTTAGCGCACACTACGTTATAGCGATGGATTAGCTACAGAATTCGCTGCCTCCAGATTAATTTAGCTCTCAGCTGTACAATAATTTGCCTTCAGCCCTTCGATCAAACATCGCAGTCGTACCAAAAACAAGTGTGATTGATTCCTCATCTGACTTATTGGGCAGAAACTACAAAACAATTGTTTGTGTCCACTAGACGTACAAGACAGGGTCAAACAGTACACCTAACAAGCACCAGCGAAAAGGTCTGCCTCGCTCCCCGACTTAACATCGGAAATCTTGTCAGTTAAAAACGTCCTTAAATATTATGCTATATCCTACTCTCGTGTACATTATCAATAAGACAATAAGCAACATCTGTCTCAGTTACTTTAATTTAAAGCTATAGCCCCTGTCTTCACTGCCGATGTAAGGAACTTACTGGCTAAACAAGCTTCAACAGAACTGGTCAAGTATGTTTCTTCTGAATTTAGTTATAATAAAGGCTGAACTCAATAATCAAGATGTGTCCTCATCGGTGACGTGTCAGTAACGAGTGGGCCGAAGTGAATCATTATATAGAAGCACGATAACATATGTATTCACTAGTTCACTCATTCGATTAGATCTTTTTTTGTCGCTGTTGCCGTCGTCGTCGTCGAAAATATACGCGGACACCATAAACTAAGCATAACAGATAACTTCAAATTGCATGATTATATTCCAATTTGATTGCATGGAATGGTTTTCATTCGCAAGTCACGTGTGTTGTAGTAAGATCCGATTCAGTCATTGCTGGTTGGACAGGGGGGTCTAACGTTTGCTTTGTTCGTTGCCTGCCTTTCAGTCTCTTGCGGTTTTACTATTCTAGGTCATCATCCTCTAATCACATCGGATACGCTCTCCCAGATACCATATCATTGATGTCTTTCTCTCTCTCCCATTCTGTTTGCCTACGTCCTCCCTTTTTGGTGACCATTTATGCTTACGTCCGTTAATCGCTTGCCGGAATGTACTGTAGCACTACCCATATATTCCTCTATCGTTTACCCCCTAATCAAATTCACATGATTCTAGCCTGCCAACCTCCCTCCCTGCTTCTCTCTACCTCGCTATATATCACATAGTGCCATCATTCGTTTGAACCTCGTCGGTCGTTCGCATTAGCAGTTGTTCTTTGGCAGATTCCGAATCTTGCTTGATTATATCAGTCCTACACATACGCAGGCCGCTGCATGTTCATTCAACATTAAGCACACTTGTCGCCAACCCCCTCCCTTCCCCCCATCGGTTCCACCAACTTCGTCTAATCCTAACTCTTCCCACCTTCGCAGTTTCTTCCGTTATAACGTTCGCGAAGTGCTGGTCGAATTCGTGCCTGGCGTTACTGTTGTTAACGCAACTGTTGACGAGGTGGTAGGCGCTGCTGTAGCGATAGCGGTTGTGGGGGCAGCCTGCGATGAGGAATTTGCTGATGAAACGGCTCGTGCTGTTGTTGGGGTTGAAGATGTTGCTGTTGTGGCAGGTGACAATATGGATGATGTTGAGGGAGCTCCTGAAGTCGTTGCGGTAGCCTGCTCAGGCACGGGAGGCGTGGCCGGTCTTTGAGCCTCCTGGAAAATCTCTTTTCGATATGGGTAGGCAAGCTCGTGGATGCCTTCGAAGCACGGCACAAACAGCGCGGCCAGAGCAGACCTCGCATGGTTCATGTCGGTCAACACGAACCACTCATCGCTGGCAGGGCTATAACATTCGCATAATCTTGTCGTTGACTCGCCTGTATAACCGCCGAATACATAGATGAGATCATCGCAGACGACGGCAGCGAAATTACTTCGGGCTGTCAGCATCGACGCTATCGATGTCCACGCGTCTCGTTGTGGATCATACACTTCGCACGAGCTTAGCCGGGCGCTACCGCTTGACCCGCCGAGAGCATAGATCTTGTCGCCGAGCGTCACCGCACTGACGCCCGAACGCACGAAACCCATTTGGGCGACGCCCGACCATGTGTCTGTTGCAGGATCGTATTTTTCTACTGTTCGATTGCACGTTGTTCCTGTAAAGCCTCCGATAGCGTAGAGTTTGCCGTCGAGAACAGCGCAAGCTGCGTCACTACGCTGAAATTCCATGGGTCGAATGAACGACCACTTGGGGGACGCAGTGTGCAGTAAAACAAAAGTGGTTAGACTTGCAGCTGAACTTAGCAATAGCAACAGAAGAATGTCATTTTCAGATTACTCTACTTAATTAAATACGAACCTGGTTTGTGTCTAAATCGTACGCCTCAGCTGTGTTGAGACGGAACTGGCCATTATATCCTCCTATAGCGTAGATCTTGCGGCCGATCACAGCTACACTTACATATGACCGCTCGACGTTCATCGGCGTGACATGAGACCACGTTTTTTTCTTGAGATTATATTTTCTGCAATTCTTATGATAATTATTGTTACCATTATAACCTCCAATCACGAATATATCACCATTGACGAGTGCCATCTTGTGGTACGCACGCATTTCTTCAGGGTCGGCGAGATGATCTGAAAGGCCAGTTATATAAAAGGAATAATAGTAAAAAAAGGCATCGAATCCAGCGTCTTTTTGTGGTGTTGATCGCAACCGAAAACGCCTAGGGAACATATCCCAATTCCATATCACTATAAACGAATGGCTTATGTGTAAGATCCCTCGACGATTTCCAGTTTCCAGTAATAGGGATGCAAAACGAGCTTGAGTCAAGAACGGAGAGAGAATGGAGAAAAGAAAAGAGCTAATCACTACCATAGTAAAGGATTTAATACTTACGAAACAAAGTATGCCTATCAGCGCTTGGATCATATACTTCGAAGACGTTGCAGGGCGCCTGAAGCCAACCACCATGAAGAAGGATCACTCCATGGGGTTCTCGTGGAACTGTCGTTTTTCGTAGTTCGGCGCTTAACTCAGTCACGAGAGGAACGCGCGTATTCATTACACGTCTGACCGACATTAAATACTCTCGGCATTGAGTGTCTTCCCGCAGCAGAGCGCTAGTGGCTGCTACCTCTCGAAGTTTCGCCTCATCAACAAGATAGACTCGAATCGCTTTCAGAAGCGAAAAGAGGTGTTGTCGACGGTTCTCGAGATTGTGCTCGATCCAGCGCACGCAAACATGGCAGAGTTTATCCTCGTCCCGAACGTTTAGGTGGTCGTCGCTGATGAATCCGAAAAACTCGTCGAAACTGGTCTCTAGAAGTTCTTCGCTATCGGCTAGCTGCATAAAATCTTCCATGATACGGTGGTACAATTGACGTGTCAGATCATTCATCATGTACAATTGCGCCAAACGCCACAGAGGGATTACGTTGTCACCATGCGAATTGTCGATGATAAAGGCTCGACATTCTAGCGGGGCAATATAAGAACAATAAGCATTTGATATTGCGATTTTCCAATGAAATTGCACTTTTACAGCAAAACTAACGCCACTCACCAAGAGTAAAGGATTGACAAAAAAAATTCATGCAGGAACCATAGCGTGAACTTCCTTTAGCTTAACTAGACGCTGCCCAATACTACCTTTAATAAGTTTATCCATACGGAGGAAATCAGCAGTCTCGATGACATCCTGTATATTCTCTAATGACAACTTGGCTTCCCCATCATATGAGTATTCGAGAGCGGTTTGAAGTTGGCCAGACTTTAACATAGGAACATTCAGGACTCTGAGGAGCACAATTTTCGATTAGATAGTTTTATAGAAAAAAACGTTCGGACACTAAAAGTCAGGCTTTGGGCATAGATTTAGGTACATGCAAGAATTAGATACAGCCCTAATATAGGGAACATGGACTGTTATTACGATGTACGCAAATGATTCTTCAAATGCGCTAAATATAGCGAAATTGACTGTGAGATTTAAAGTGAGCTTTGTTCCATACGAAGTTTGCCATTTTAAAAGCGGCATCTTGAAACCATGGTGTATCTGTTGAACGTATATTGGTGCGCGTTTGTAAAACTAATGATAAGTACGACTCATTTACTTGCAAGATATGGTTAGGTTAGGTTCATTTTTTGCTTTATAACAGCCATACAATATCCGATAGACTTTAGTCTTCGATTCAGAACGGATTTATGCGATCCCCCACACCACTCCATCCCCCCTCCCCATTTTCAAATCGAATCTTAGCGCCACTCGGGAAAATCACTGCAGGAACCGTTAGGACAAATCTATTAAATTGAACTTAGCTTTCAATCCGTTATCTCTGGTAACTAATATCTCTGGCGTTGAATATTATGTATGATATATGCAAACTTGACGATATAAACAAACCAAGGCACCCCAGCTCGCACCTCACAAAAGCACAAAACAATGGCGCAAGATCGGACATGAAGTAGAAGAACTTTCATGAAACAGATACGATCGTTGCTTCACTGTTGCACCAAAATAAACATTGTACGGGTTTGGCGAAAAACACTTCTTCTAAATTCACGATATCGTTACTTGAGAACGGTGTCCCGTGTTCGGGGCATTCCAAATGCGAAGAGAGCCGCGCGGAAGTATCTCGACGCTGTGGCCAATGGCAACCGATGTGCGGGGATCTTCGAGCCGTCGTCACATATTAGCTCTGTATCTGGTGGGAAACTCTTCACGAAGTGCAGACTCATCTACACTTCCTCAGTGTACGGGGGGAAGTCTGTCCGGAAACCGCCTCGTCTTAAAATTGAACCAGGCTAAGGAACTGAATAAACACCTTGAAAATAGGGTAGAAGATTCAAGCTGTTCGGATCAGCTGGATCGGCCGAGAATACCGCGCGAAGCTTCGTTTCTACAGTAGATTACGCACAATGATAACGTGTTAACGTAGTTAGTTACAATTTTCGTTTGGTAAGCCAACGGTACTGCTGCCAGTGCTCAGGCGTCGCTATCTCGATCAGAGAGCTGACGGAGCATTTCGCCCGGACAAGCGAAGTCGCGTCTCGTTGTTGCGGTTTTATTACAAAAACCGTAAGAGTTTTCCCTCTAGAAAACAAAGTGTTTCGTGTAATCGATTTCACGAAGACAATGTAGGCTTCAGTATTAGTTTTTCCAATAGTGCAATTTTGTGTGAAGCCGTGAACTTTTCAAGCATGCACAGGGTTCACTTTCTAAAACTTTGTCCGCGATTATTTTTGATGCGTGACGTGTGTGCCGTTTTGCGGTCATTCATTGACTTCCGCGACTTAAGTAAGTTGTCCAGTGTTCGGCTGGGACCGAAGTTGGACATGAGAAATCGAGCCTATGTAGTATCCCCTATGTATTATTGACAATATATCACTTCTCTGCAACGCGCCATTGCTGAACATGTAATAATCGTAAACGCAGGCACTTTTGAGGAGTTTCGCCTGGAGAACCCGAAACTCTCAAATATTTCATATGTATTATTAGTAAGTAATACATTTTTATTTGATTCCAGTCATCGTATAACACTCCGTGGACGTATCTGTAAATGAAGCATAATTACTACGTAATAAGTTCATACACACGTTATTTTGTAACTGAACATATTGAGAGGTTCGATTTCGCCTCCAAGAGCATTATACGACAAGTCGTTTAAGTTGTATGGCGGGTCTTGAAGGAAAGAAGATTGTGCTTTGAAAGATCAGACTACCCTGCTAAGTATTTATCGATTTGGTTTCTGGTATAGTCTGGCTTCTGTGGAACCTTCATCGGATGAAGACGGTAAGCTGAATGCTAGAGCCTAAATTCGGAATTGACTCAGGTACTACTTCAAGCTGAATGTCATCAAATGCTGTCGGCTTTGTGTGTATGTCTGACGGAATACCCAGTGGCGACGCCGGATATAAAATTCGAAGCTTTGTATAGATGATAAATATCTGCATAGTGGCGAATACACATATATAATCTTTAATTCTAATTTAGATGATCACTTGCTTACATTATGTTATTGGCTAAATGCGTGTCTCAAGATGTTGATTTCACCATTTGTGTTTAATAAACATCGTTAAACAAACATAGAAATACCGATAAAACATCTGAGAGCATCAGAGCAAGGTCAGAACTATTCGTATGTTTGCACAGATCAACTAAACTAACCTGAAGATAGCCTTCTTAAATGATCATAATTAGCTATTCCAGTCTGTACTGGCTAACCAATCAATTCTACTTCATAGTTAGTCAGAAAGGAAAAGAAATAGACTCAACATGTCCTTAACTTAACAACCTTCCTTTTCTGATGCAAACATTATACATTTTTGCGTTATTTTGCAAGTATTGGGTGTCTTGACATTTGCGTACCTGAAAATGATACGCTGATAAAACATAGTCATAATTAGTTTGGGAGTTATATAACAACCCAGAAAATCTGTATTCAGATGTTCAGCTTTGGATCAATTTAAAGATCAATATTAGTTCATTAGAAACAGGCGATACGTCCAAACATCATCGCTATTTGGCCCGTTTTTTTAACCCCACAAAATCTTCATTAATCTAACAATATGACCTCATCTAGTCAAATACTCCAATCTTGCTCAACCTCGACAAAGTTTTAATTTAGCTTACTATTATAGTTTCCTGTTGTTCATTATCTCAATATTGACGGGAACGCGTCGCTGCTGCTTTCGTCCTTTCTGCTGCTTCAGCTGGTATAAAGAGACGAGCTGAACCCGCTCTCGCCCACTTTCGTGAGGATAGAATGCGAGCGATGCCTTGAGGAAGAGATATTCAGGAAAATAGGCGTTTAACACTTCATCTTCCAGCGCTTCCAACGCGTCGAAAGCCATGGGTGGTATATACTTATGTCTCAGCAATTGTTTGTCATGTATGCCCTTGTAAATGTTTGCCTGTCTGCGAGTGTCTGAGTGCGCGCGTGTGTGCGAGAATGTGTTTGTGTAGTGTGCCTTGACCAGGTGTGGGTCGGTATACGGATAAGCTATGCGCTCGTTTATTTTGACCGGACCTCCCTTTGACCAGAGGTCGGGGCGGATGTCTCATTTAGTCTGATACGCACACGAGAATTTGTGAAGAGGAACAGGCTTATTCTACACTGGACAAAACTATGGCCGTTTTTCCGCCTGGCTCCGTTAGCTGCCCTGTCCAGTGTTACCGGCAGCTACACTGCCTCCATCTATAGGAGCGCCTACCCTCGTAGATCCGTAAACATTGCAAAGGTTCACATTTCCAAAGGTTTCCTCGCCACTGCCTATTCTTTGGTTCATTCAAGTTGGCTGCTCATCACACTACTTCATCGCTAACCGCAGAACACTTCACATGGTACTTCTAGGCTAAAAATAAGTGCACGAATATACTGGCAGTAATAATACGTTACTAGTAACTAAAAGACGGGGTGCAGCGCTGGCGAGCGCGCTGGTCGTCAACTAGCGAACTTGAAACTGTCCGTACATATAAAACATACTAGGCAAAATGGGCTAAACTACACTAATTGTGCAAAACGGGCCAACAGTCGCGGGTTCCGCAAAAGTGCAACGCCATATTTCCTGCGCGAGGACGACGCCTTTAACGCCATTGGAATGGGTACGTACCCCATAAAGCATTCGTAACTTAAGCCAGTTGGGATACGCGTTACCATATAGTTTTGCCAATCGAAATCAACGCAACGTATTATTGTTGTTATGTTAAGTAAATGGGAATGACAAACATTACTTTATGATCTGACCTACGTCTGGCAGTTGTCATGCGAAAATGTCCACTCTATACACGTTTCCACTGAAAATGTATGAGTGAGTTTGTCACTGCAGCATATGCGGAAAAACAAAGCGATATATGTACAGAACAATCAGGGTTATTTGCAATTAAAAATACGCCGGTATTCACCCCGCTTCAATGGTGCTCGGTACTTTTACGCATATAGTAGAAATTTAGACCCGATCGAAATTTGTAAAGAGTCCTTAAAAGGTCTCGTTTGCCTAAAATCAGTTTGCCAGCTTGAGCGACATTCAACTAACCCATAGTATTAGCTTTGCTTTCTTATTTGTTAACTTTTACTAAATTGACAGACATGAATCAAGGGAAAAAAAAAAAGATTTTCATGTTAACGGGAGGCTATAAGACCTTCAGTACGCCATCATTCATATGTCATATGCTGCTGCATCGATTACTGTATCCTAGCGTGCTAAGAAGTGTTTGTCCCAAAACGAATTAGTTACCTTCTGAACTTTGCACCGCTGCCTTTAAGTTTCGAATGCCCAGAGGGGCATCTAGTCGCGATTTCGTTAGTGATTTCTGCTGTAATATCTGCAAAATACATGTGGAAGTCGATAAAGGGCTTTCGCACAAGTTTATTAAGTGTTAGAGCCGCATCAGTACAACGAAATTAGGCTGTTGTAAACGAGTATGCTGTTTCCGTCACGATCTGCAATAATTAACGTAATAACGAGGTTCCTAGTACCTTTCAGTTATATAAGCTGCCACCTCGATGATGAAATGGTGTTTATTTAAGAAGTTATCTCAGTTTCGCAAAAATGACATGAACGAGGATCTGACTATAGAGTTCACCGTTCCCATAACCTTTAAAAGCCAAACATTCCTAAATTAGTGGCAATTGTGTAATCCCCTTCGTCGAGAAATTTTGAAAAACAATTTATATACAAGACTATATAAACTTTTGGCTAACCATAGGCGAACACTCCTTCGCCTGGTAAATGTTAGTAATACCCCATTGCAGATCGTCCAGAGATAGATAGTTCAAATGCATTTGGATTAGGATGATCATTTCTAGTGGGCGTAAAGACTAAGAGAACTATAGATTGAGAGATTTATCTTCCCTTCCAAAAAAATACATTGCATGATCTTTGGAAGATACTATCGATTTTACAAAAAATGTAAAATCCACTCTTGCTGAAATGGATACGTTTACTACATAAAGACAATAATAATATTGTCGTCACCGTACGAAATCTCGACATCAGGGTAATCTTCCCATTTTTTGTTTGTTGTAGCAGAATTTCACACAAGCCAGTCAACTCGACAGACGGGAAAAGATGATCACTTTGTCTAAATTGTTTGCAAAGAAGATCTTTTTCGGAAGATCATTCTCATCGCAAATAGCGGGCTTACGAGTGTGCAAATCTTTAGTTAGCAAATGTTTATTGACTTCGACCGAACGCGAACGAATTTTCGGTTTTTCGTGTGATTTTCGTTCTGTATTTAGGTAGAACTATTAGTCCCAAGATGGCAAAAAGACGACCTATACAGCCGAAACTTATTAATTGGGTAGGAGAAGCATGTTTAGCAGCCACTTTGTATCCAATGGTAGATATTTGATTTAACAAACTCTCCTAAAATATAGACCAAACCTGAAAACGCGCATACATAACTATTGGCTTAAGTCTAGTCCAATAGGCCAATGTGGAGAAATGACAAAAAACGACTAGATAAGTAAGAACCTCTGCCAAGAATGAAGAAATAATTAATTGATAGACATCATAAAGTCAGTAATGCTGGTGTCCTACAGAAAGTTGATTCGTATTCAAGTGTTTTGCCTATTAAGCTTTGGGAAATTTGCTAAGCTGACCTAGATCCTAAATAGCCACTGATAGGCCAGGGTTAGCTTTTACATTCTAGGCAACGAAATTGATTTTCACCTTAAACTTGAAGATAGGCTGGGATGACACTGAAGCGTAATTGATCCATAATTTATAACGATTGATTCGTAAAAAGGCAATTTGAAGATAATGAGGTTTTGGACGTTTCAACATGCGAGCTTATCGCTATGTGGTATGTTAACTTATAGAGCAGCCGTAGCCGCTGACTCAACTCATTGACCATCTAATCAATTTTGGCGACCAACAACTTAAGTTCATTATTACAGTTTCTTTGCTTCACGGTAACAATTCGTAAATATAATATCTCTTAAGCTCTTTTTTCCAAATAAGTCCTTGAGCGACACCTCGGCAGCTGATACTGAGCAAGCACATCTAGCTCAGAAGCTTACTTTGCGAAGATCGTTATATATATTATAACTACATTATTATTGTTGTCCAAACGAAGCCCACAATATTTTGTTCCCTACTAAATTGTATACACATATGGATGAGGCTGGCTCAGGGATCTTTTGCCCTAACCACTCAAATAAGAAGCCATGAACGCGACGTGTACACATTATGTCGGGTCAACGTCTCGCCCCCTCTAGAGTAACTTTGGATTTCTGTTATCTATGCGGTTGTCTCCGTCACGTATACAGACGCAGCTAGGTACGAATAGAACCGTAGCGGCCTGAACTAGCTGGAAGTAGCATAAGAAATACAGTTGTCGACCACAGCCATTCAACGGTAAGAAGCGTGACAGCCGTGAACAAGCCTATTTGATGTTTGAGCGGATCTGAATAGGATCCTTCTTCCCTTGACTTCAATCGACAACTGTCGTCCAATGACGTGGCGCTGGCTGCTTAAAGCGTTCATTATTATTATTATTATGAATATGGTGATAGAAAACAACAGCCCTTTCTACTCGCTGCGTAGCCGTGAACTACATATCTTATCAGCATTGGCCATGCGAGTTACGCAAGCAGCGTGCGTCATGCCGAACGGAGATGCCTTTAGTGTCGTTGCCGACTTCATGTACGATGCTACCATTATCTATTACTATGTATATGTACGGAGTGATACAAAAGTCTTTTACCAGATATATGCATGTACAATGTACACACATATTTTGTGTATGTTATTTTCACATTATAAATTTGTCGTAAAGCGCCAAACGAGCTTGATCGTACTGTTATTAATAGAGCCCCCCCCCCCAGTGAGTAAACGTTTCATTGTTACTGCTCTAAGCTATAGGATTGTATTTGCTGGTTTTTACTTCGCTCGTTTCCAGTTTTATCAAGTGCATTTTCTTCTAGTTCATTTACCGATTATATATTTGATGGCTCATGTCACCGAAGCCTGGAGTAAGATCTGGTGTCCGGTCGTTTGATCTTGCTTTACCATCGGTTATAGTTTATCACGGATGATTGAAATTTTCTCCTACCGTTTAGCCGGCGTCGAGGTCTTATTCAGCTCTTATTTGATATTCACTTGGAGCGTTTCGCTAACCAGCAACTACGAGGGATCGTCAGGTCTGTATGGTGCGTAAAGTGATCGTTCCCGGGTAACCTGCTCTATGCCACACTATGTATGTACCATAAGCGTTCTACATTTATATGAGATGAACAGGGCGTTCGCGAGCGTTTCTTCTAGCCACTCCTAGATATCAAATGTGTTTTTCAGGTGATGACTAATGTTTAGAATTTGTCGAAGCCCTTCGGTGCGCGCATCTGTGCGGACGTGACCAGTTGTCGCGTATTACTTCGCGGTTCACAGTTTCATTTCGTTGTTTCATTGCTCGTTTACATTCAGCTAATACAGTACGATACACATTATGGTATAATATCACAGTACATGTATATGTGGATCGAGTCACTTGTCCCTCTGGGACACAAGTAACGGTTACCACAACTGTTTTAACGATCATAATGGCAACGGCTACATAGTTGGTGATGATTTTATTAATACGATTATAAAAAAGATTGATGAGAATGCTGATGCAAATGCCCCTGCCGTTCTCGCTTCTGTTGCTGATGGCGATGAAGATATTAGCACAACGTCAGCGACGACAACAACAACGAGTCAGCGAGAAAGAGGTTGGTGACGTAGTGTTCGGAGTGAAGTCGGCACTAGCAATCCAACAGCACGACGACCAGCCGATACCAGCTGCTACAGTGACAACGGCCAACAATAACAATCAGATCAACAACGTCATCGTTTATGTCGACGATCGAACTATGAAAATAAACAACGTAGCTAAGCCAAGCAATAGGCCAGCGACTCAACAGAACGATACGTTCCGGACGGGGAACAAGAACGAGGTGGGTTGTCTAGACAGGTCTAGTCGCCGCGGCGGCGCCCCAAGCCATCACTGGCCGTCTGTCCGTATAATGAGTGTATAATGGGAGGGATGAACCGATCACTAGATCGACAAAGATGGACTGAAACAAACTACACCGGCAATAATAACAACAACAACAACTACTAGTACTACTACTACTACTACTACTACTACTACTACTACTACTACTACTACTACTACTACTACTACTACTACTACTACTACTACTACTACTACTACTACTACTACTACTACTACTACTACTACTACTACTACTACTACTACTACTACTACTACTACTACTACTACTACTACTACTACTACTACTACTACTACTACTAGTACTACTACTACTACTACTACTACTACTACTACTACTACTACTACTACTACTACTACTACTACTACTACTACTACTACTACTACTACTAGTACTACTACTACTACTACTACTACTACTACTACTACTACTACTACTACTACTACTACTACTACTACTACTACTACTACTACTACTACTACTACTACTACTACTACTACTACTACTACTACGACTACTAGTACTACTACGTAGAGCTATAGCTGTCGGTTGAAAACAAGACAGAAACGCGAAGCGACAGGAAAAGGGAAACACCATCAACGATGTCTGTGGCCCCACTGTTGCCCCAGCTGGAAACCTACTTCTGCCGCTTGTGCTAATTGGTCAGAATAGACTTGGATAGGTTTCCGTCCCGCCGGGGGCCCGACCCCTGCCAACCACGGTTCTAATAGTAACATCATAACGGGCACTGGATGGGCAGCAATTCTTCACATGTGTCGTTTTTAAATGGCCAGCCAAGCTTTACTGTTGTCCGCTGAGTCTCTAGTTAGTTTTTTCATAGTCAACCATTTGTGACTGCTAATTTTCCCTAGCCATCACAGAACAAATCAAAAGTTGAAATCATTCGCAGCTCCTTGGCCCCATCAAGCAAGCGCAACAAAGCCGCGACAAGGGCAAACAAAGATGAAAGCACTGTGATATAAACGGTAGACTATATATATACGTATATATATGTATATAATTGGGATGGTGATGAAGTATTGACAGCTTTTCTAACTAGATGGCTCCGAAGTCACATATTTCAGCTAGCATAGATCGCATCAGACTGACGTTCGTATCATTTAGAAGCTGGAATCTCGCGGCAAAATTGAAATGTCTTCATGTAGACTCAGTATAAAGCACCTTGAAAATAAATTAAATCTATGTAAAAATTCGTTATTACCTTACAGCAAAGGCATAAGTGCTTTTCATGTCCTGTTTATGGTTAAGGAAAGTCTCAAAAATATATTTGTCACTTTCATTCCGGAAATTTTGACGTGAACAACGAATGGTTGATCTATTGCAAAAAAAAAAAAAAAAAAAAAGCATGAAATTATTGCGGAAGTTGAATAAAGTCGTCACGTGCGCAGGCATGACATCGCCCAGGAACAATATATCCATTAACAAACATCTTGAACTGCTCAGAGAGAAGCTGTCTAAAGAAAGAAGCCGCATGTTTGGATGCTACCGGAAAACTCTACAGAGGCGATTACTATCGATCACATACGACAGTCATGTCCGAAATCAATTGGGTTAAAAACGAGGAAAAGCTGTGCCAGAGGCCAAACTGACGCCCAAGGAGGCAATGCGACGTATTGGTTGAGACTGGAAAGAGATCAACTGAAATTGCCAAGCCAGATACATTTTTAGCTAAACGATATTATTTCCTAAGAGAAAACAGTCATTTTCATTTTGCTTTCCATTTGAATTTCGCTACCTCTTCGGCCACCCAACATAGATATATAGACAGATATGGGAAAAAAAAATTAGAGCGACTATGCTGATGTTGCACTGCAACCGAGTAACTGCACGAGAGATGCTACGCAGATATTCCACGAAATATTTAATCAATAGTTGAGAGGCTTATGGAGATGATGGCTTAACAGTTTAATGAATCGAGAGACGGTATAGATGTGGTGGGTTCCGAAGATTAACAATCTGCGTTTAGATGTATGGGGTCGAACTTTGTTTGCCCTTAACTAGATATAACGGTTTAAGCTATCGAGAAAAGTACGCAGTCGTTCGTCTTCTCTCTGAACAGAACAATCCATTATTAAATTCATTTATATGGACGCTGGTTAATGAGCAAGATACATCAGCAGATTAATCTTTAGAGTAAATCAATCACTCTCTCTAAATGCAGAAGCACAGTATATGTACACTCACTTTCATTCAACTTTTTGTAACTGCTGCGGTATCACTTATTATATCAGCTATATTTGTTGCAGTATCAGCTGGAACGAAATATGATATTAACATAGAAATAATATCAACACCTCCAATTCATTAAACGCAGTTGTCAACATCATCACTACCGGCGCCATCCTGAACAGGATCATCATAACATGAAGTACTACGACTGTGTAGTAGGTGCGTTGACAACACCAACGTAATCCTCTACAACCTCTATTCGATCTTCTCTATTGCATATTTCTATACGTAACAAGTTACTAGATTTAGCTGTGACTGTGGTGCTCAAACTTTATCGACGTCACAGAGACCGCAGTCGCCACTGCGCCCATACAGACTGCTATTCCCATTCGCCCTCGTTGTGGCATCTTCTTTCCTGTACGGCATCAGTAAAAACAAGCAGTTGTAGTTTGTCAGCCTGGTCCGGGCTGCCGTGAACGCTGGCGACCACAGCCACGATCGGTCGCCTCGTCATAGCGGCTCTTTCGCGCAGTCTCCCGCCGTCTTGTTCCCTTCACGTTCTCTCTCTAACAGGAGCTAGTCGTCTTGTTTACCGAGTACACGTCGTGTTTTTAGCCTCCGCCCCATGTGAGTGGCGCTGTACGGGGAGCCCTCGGCTCTTCTCCGTTGCCGCTGCCCCTACATCTACGAATGCCCCTCCGCTGTTCCGCCGTTCTGTTTCGCTGCGTCTCTTCAACGGTTGGCTGACTAGGACTGTCGCTCACTCGCCGCTGTTGTCGTTGTCGTTGTCACCGCCGTTGCCCACAGCGCGCACAGACTACCTGCCAGTACAGCCCTTTCCCATTGAAGTGTACCGCCACTACTACTACTGGCAGTCGTCGTACTTATATTATTATTATTATTACTAGGACGAGACGACAGTGTTGTGCTACTGCTGCTGCTGCCGCCGCCACCGCGGCGTGTGCTCGACCTACTTTTCGGCCTGGCGACGGAAGCATTCAAACCAACATGGCGGCATTCATGGCCAGACTTTGTTTTGTTCTGCGCTGATGGCGCGAGTGGCCGCGGCAGCGGCGGCGGCGGCAAAGGGCCCGATGGCGGCTTCTCTGCCGGCGGCGGCGGCGACTCGTTCTCTGGTAACTGCTGCTGCTGCGGCCGCCGCGGCGGCCGCCGTGGCCGTCGCCGCCTGTCTGCCTATAGCCTCTAGTCCACGGCACATAGCAGTATACTGCTAAGAGCATTATGATGTTGATGTCTTTCTGCTGCTCCTGCCGCCTGTAGCTCATCGTGGCCGTCTGTAGTCCGAGAGATTTAGCTTGTAGCGATAGCCGCTGCCGATTTGCCGCTGGCTGCCATTGCTATTGGCCACGGGCTACGAGCGCCGACTTCTATGGCCAATGACCAGGTGCCGGACTGCTGACGGACTACGGTTTGTTTGTCTGTCCGTCGCTGCGGAGGAGAGTCTGTTTCGCAGTCCGTGTGTCGGCGATCGCCAACCTGTCTATCCAGCAGCCCCAGCGTCCATAATCGATCCGTCTGTTCCGAGTGACTGTCTAACTATCCTGGCCTACCCATGTGGCCGCCGCCTTTGTACCTTGTCTTTGACTACTATTGCCATTAGTATAAAATCGAATGGTACGGCGAGAACACGTTAGGATGAAGAGAACAGTTGTTCGTGCGTGTCTATAAATGAATATATATAGGTGTGTGTCTCTGGGTCTGGGTGTGTGAGTGTGTTTGTGTGCGTATACCTGTGTGCCTGGTTTGTGTTTGTGTGTGTGTGCGTGCGTGTGTCTTTGTGTGTGTGTGTGTGTGTGTGTCTGTGTATGTATGTATGCGTGTGAGTGTATCTCTGTGCTGGACTTGTACAACGAATGATAATAGTTCCCGACTATTACTTCTGCTATCGTCGAAGAGAAAATTGTACACTCGGATAACTCTATTGTGCCGTTTTGTGATCGCTAGCAGTATCGGATAGACGCATCAGATTGATTCGTTGCGTTGAGAACTGCTAGCATGGCTGACTGCTCGTTTACTCGGGTAGCTTTCTTGCTTACGGGTGCTCATTTGCCGCCGGACGGTCGTGAGTTACGTCGTGTTCTGCTAACGATAGTGTGGCGTTGTGTTTTTGTCGATACTACTTTGTCTCGTTGAGCAGTGCCAGTATGAAGTGCAGCGTACTCTCATCGTCTACTAGTGCGTTTTAATATGGAGTAATAGAAAAAATCCAATGGATAGGAGCAGTACGGCGCCGTATCGCTGCAAGTTCTACTTCCTGTTGATATGTTTGTTTGGGCAGTTGTAGCATAGGCAGGCGAGCGCTCTGCTGCTGCTGCTGCTGCTGCTGCTGCTGCTGCCGCTGCTGCTGCTGCTGTGACTGTTATAGCTAAGAGTTGGAGGCCGGCGGAGCACCTGTTGTGTATATGCCCCGTTCCGTGGCAGCGGGCAGCCATGGTGTGGGCGAACTGTGACACTGCCAGTGGATCTGCATGCTAAGCGACGATACGGCTCAAAATTCAAGTCACAAAAATCAAATGTGTGAGTGAGTTTTGTACTTCATGATGAGCTCGCCATACTCGTGTGTGGAACGCAGACGATAACTGCTTCTGTTACTACTTATCATGTGCATAAAATATGTAGATATTCGAGATATGTGTTTGTAAATGATGCCTATAGAGAGGCTCGGTCATCGCGTAAAAACTAATATCGACGGAAAAGAGGCGACAATGATTGTGCGTGTGTGCGTGCGT